GGTTGACGACCAGGCTACGCAGCGGTCGTCACAGGGTTACACCTTCAGCCTTGGCTCTGGTTCGGTTTCTTGGCGTTCTACACGCTCGTCTTCAGTTCTCAGCTCCAGTTGTGAGGCTGAGATCTACGCCACAGCCATGGCTGCACAGGAGTTACGCTGACTCACCTACCTGCTGACCGACTTGGGAGAGCGGCCTCGTTCTCCTCCAGTGCTGTACGTCGACAACAAGGCCGCCATTGCCTTGTGTCAGGAGCACAGACTGGAGCACAGAACGAAGCACATCGCTCTGCATTACTTCCTGGCTCGAGAGTTGCAGCAGCGTGGTCAGCTTCGTCTTGCTCACGTGGCCACTCGGGCCAACACTGCTGATATATTCACCAAGGCACTTCCGTCTGGTGATCATCAGCGTTTCTGCACTCTGTTAGGCCTTGTGCCCACGTTTCCTCACTTGCTGTAGACTTTGCTTGTACTGTTATCTATATATATACCTGCGTGCTTGTTCTGCTAGGTAGAGATCACTGTGCTGTTGTTGTTGCATATATACCTCTGCATGTGAACTGGCCTTGTGGCCCTTTGCTTGTGCTCAGTGTGTGTGGTGACGTTGTGATCCACCCTGAGCTTGCTTTGCTTCTCTTGACTGGTCTTGTGACCCCTTGCTCTCCCCCACTTTGCCTATGGGGGTGTGTCAAAGTATATGCATGTTATATATGTGTAGGCTGTAGTGGGGTAGCCAATATGGGGTACAGTCCCTTTTAGGGTTTCATACTTGTACCCAACTCTTTCATAGTTCATTCATTCCTGTCTCTAGATTCTAACACGACTTTCGGAAGTGCACGTTCGGCCGGTTTACTCATTGTATTGTCAGTTCATTGGGTCACATCTTCGTTATTCTTTATTCCGCGCACTCTCTTTTACAACTCATAACAGTGAATAGCACTCTCTCAGTTTCTACAGTGAATAGCGCGTTCCACCAATCCTGCCCTCATTCCCTCCTCCCTTTACCATCTCGTCTCCACTCCACTCCCGCCATTTCGTCAACTCCCCAACCCACACATCCGCTTCCCTCGCTAACCGTCGCCCGCCGTCGCACACCAACGTCGCTAATCGTCGCCCTTCCCCCGCCATTGCAAAGCGGCCATTCACCGTAACGATGCGCCCTTGCCGCCAGATCCCACCCGATCTCTTCAATAAAGGCTCTCCACGCTGCGGCACGACAGGGTCGAGATAGCGCTTATAGCAAATTATTCCCAGGTAGATCGCGCCTCTCGCGTGATGCCACGTGTCCCTTTGGATCAGGAGAAGCGCTTAGCTTGGCAGATGTCGCGTCGGAAGCAGCAGCGACTACAGTTGCTGGCTCTACGGGAAAGCGGTAGCGAGCCTGTGTAGGTCTAGTAGGAATAGCCATCCGTGTCAACGTTTCCATTTCGCAATTTCTTAACTCGCCTCTCAATCGCCCATACATCTCGCACGATTTCGCGCCAATTCTCCGCCATCCCGTACCGCTCTCCTCTGCGTATCGTCCCTGCCAGCCGCATCTTCCAGTCGAGTCCTAGCGTCTGAAGCTTCCGCGCAGTTGCAGATTCAGAAAGGGGGAAGGTTCGGGGAGGGGAAGGGGAGCGAAGTCGTGTGCGCGTCAAGTAGGGAAGCAGTTAAGGGGAGGGAAAGGGGAAGGGGCAGCGCAACCCACGAGGCGCAAAGCGCAGAAGCCGCGCGACCCAAGGGAGGAGGGGCGCATCCCAGCCAGAGCAGCGCTGCACGGCGGCTGGGGAGGGAGCGAGAGAGAGCGGCGGAGCGTGGGGGTTGCGCAGGGCAGCAGCGGGGGCGTGGGGGGGGGGAGCGGCGCAACGCGGGTCCCGCAGGGTTGCGCAAGCTGGGCGGCGCGTGTACACGCGCGGGCGTGCTTAGGCGTGTTCCCCGTGGGAGGCGCGGCGGCGGCGGCGGAGGAGGAGTGCGGCGATGCGGCAAGTGGACGACCCCGCGGCGTCCGGCCTGCCGCCATGGCTGGGATCGCTGCTCGCGCTGCTCGTCGTGACGCACCTATTCGCTCTCGTACGCCCTCTGCAATTCCTCCTTGCGCCGGCACGTCCTCCTCACATGTTGCATCCTTCCTCCCCAGCAATTTCCCCCTCCGTTCCCCCCCCCCTTACTTTCCCTCGTTCTCTCTCTCCCTCGCCATCCCTCATAATCTTCTTTCATAGTTCCCCAACCCCCCCCCTCCCCTTCCCTCGTCACCCTTTCCTCCCACTTCTTCCCCTCCTTTCTCTCCATCTTCCCTCCCTCACTTTCTCCGTCCGTTAAAAGCAGATCTTAGCCGTGATAACGTCATGTATGCCGTTGTGCCTAATGTTCTAACGAGTCCTGGGTTGCGCCTTGTGATTGCATCCCGTGTGATTGTTCGTGAAAGTGTGTACTGTGATAATCCGTGAGAGTGTGTGTCGTTATGATGTGCGCTGTGACAGTGTGTGCTGTGATTGTGTATTCTGTTATAGTATATCACATGCTGTGATAGTGTGTATCGTGATAGTGTATCAAGGTCTACTCAAAATCAAGGAAGTAGCAGCAACATACGTTACTCATGTTTTTTGAAAAGGAAAAGCAAACCCATAATGCCAGTTGCAGCAGCAGCTCTGAATGCGTGGACATTGCTTGCTGCTTCTCTTCACCATGCCTTGCTGCTGAATTTTCATCTGCCCTTGGCACAAGAGCTTCTGTTTGACCCCCAGTCTCTGTCCCCCTTCTCTCCTTCCTCTCCCCCCCCCCCCCCCCCACCCCCCTTCCCCCCCCCTCTTGTGCTCTATTTTGCGGTTTCTCCTCCCTAATCCCCTGGCGTGCCTTGCTTGGTTCATGGCATGGCAGGTCTATTGGCTCAGCCGGCTGACACTGGAGCGGCCAGGCGCGCGCAGAAAGACAGCCTAGGAAGGACTCTTGCTCCTCTTCCGTGCTCCTGGTCTTAGGGTGTAAAGTTGGCAGGAGATCTTGGCTGACGAGGCGTGATAGCACACCCGGCAATGGAGGTCGGGTGGAGAGGGTTGGTGTCTCTGGTGCTTAGAAGCAGGGGAGAGGGGGTAAGGGAATAGGACTGCTGGCTACGAATGGGGGCAGGAATTGAAGCGACGGGAGTTGTAACTTGTAGCGTGGGTAGGTACGAATGAGTTGTGAGAGAGCAAGAGCTTGGTTGTGGGGGACGGTCATTGATGCAGCTGAGGGGCCTGCTGTGCTGTTGTGTGGCTGGCGCTGGCAATGTTGAATCGCCGTGGATTTTAGACGGGTGAGATGGGTTTGTTGGGACAAAAATGAAAGACGTCTATGCAAGTGAGCCTGTAAGTACATCCTGCATGTTGACTAGGTTAAGACCATATGCTCGACCACTGGTTTGGAGAACTTGGTTCGGCCAAATAGCCGACCTCAACTGCAAATGTGCCCTTCATTGCTGTTTTTTTTTTTTACAATATTTGTGCAACTCCCTGATTCCATGTTCTCTAACACAGCACTGGAAAGCCGTTGTATTTAGTGGAGATTTGTGCAGTGCAGACCATATCTGTGTGTATGGGTTCTGGTTGCTACACCGCTGTTTATTTCCCGCGTTCCACCATGAAGGGGATGACTTGAACTGCTGGTGAAGCAGCATCTCATTTCTGCTTTTCTCCCACTGACTGCTGCCTCGTGCATGTCGCCTCGCCTCGCCCTCGCTGCTTCGCAGCGCGCCACACGAAGAATGTGCTACGACGCAAGAGATTACTATGGGAAGGTCCGCGAGAGCTGTTTTGGTACGAGGAAGAGATGCAGGGATAGGATCTCAGTGATGAATCATGCGGAGAGTCTACGGGTTTTTCAGGGTATTTTCGACTTCGATTTTTCGAAACGCGTGCACAGCGGCAGGGTGGCTCATACGGGAACGCTTGACGCGACGACGAAGACCAAGGCGACGACGATTATGATTTTCTCATCTCTGCACCTGCTGCACCTGCTGCCTTTTGAGTCGACTCAAAAGTGACCAAGAGACGGAGACAATTATGATCTTCTCTTTGCTGCACCTGCTGCGACAGCTCGGGTCGCCGTGCTCGTCTCGCCTACGAGAGGCCGTCTGTCTCCTCCTGATGCTATGCCACGTGTGCTCCGCGTTCGTTTATGTCCTCGCCTTCGGGCCGCTGGTGCTGCTTCTGTCAGTTCTCCCGTGCCGTCGCCATGGCTACGCTCTTGCTTCGGCTTTGTACGGATGGTGGATGCACGGCCTTGCTTTTTTCGTAGAAAAGGTAAATTACAAAAAAAAACTCTGGTATCTATCTATTACTGAGCCGTTTTTCAGAGATTCTCGGCCTCTGAAGTGGCATGACGTTTCCCTCGAGCACTGGAAACTGTACGGGTATATTAGATTTGATTTTGACGTTCACCGTTTCTCTTGTGCGTGCTTTCCGGTTGTGTGCCGGGCATGGCGTGGGTGGTGGTGGTGATGGTGGGGGGGATTCTGATGCCGATGCTGGTGACAATGAAGATTGGAGGCACTGAGTTTGTCGTATCGTTGGACCGTGCCTGCCATCCCTTCCAAGCCGGGCACAACCACAGCCACCATGACAACCAGAACCACAACCGCAGTGCCAATGCCAACTGCAACGGCAACGGCAACGGCACCGGCACCGGCAACATCAAGGCCGATGGCAAGGGCGACTACAGCGACGACTTACTCGAGCACACCAGGGCCCTGGATTCGCTCCACAGGGCGTTCGTCATGTGCAACCACCTGTCCGAGTGCGATTGGCTCTTCATCTGCTGCTTGGCTGCCCGCGTCCAGGTCAGATGTCTGACTCTCTGACCTATGTTGCTTCAGTTACCCACCGTTTTTGAATTACCTGAGGGGGGTGTGGGGAAGCGAGCAACAATGTGCAGTTTCGAGCAGCGGGAAGGGCCAGCTATTTTGTCCGTTCTTTTCACTGAAAGCCCAGAAACCCTGACTTTCTTGCCCGAACCGGCCGGGCAGGGAGGTTTAGCTGACTTTTGTTCGCATGTGTGGCATGCAGGGAGCATTGGGAGGCCTTCGCTTTGTGCTGAAGCGGAGCATAGCGCGCGTGCCACTGGTGGGGTGGGCGCTGCAGATGCTGCACTTTGTGTTCATCGACCGCTGCTGGCGCACGGACGAGGCGGGCATGGGCGCCACGCTGCAACAGCTGAGGGCGTGTGCAGGGCAGCAGGACGGGCAGAAGAACGGGCAGCAGAAGCACAGGAGTGGTGGCTTCTGGCTCGCCATCTTCCCTGAAGGCACCGACTTCACGTCAGTCAGCCTCGCATGCCACGTTTTGACCATGTCAGCTGTTGCCTTGGGTGTGGCTGTCTGACAGGGACTGTGACATGACATGCTAACTAACACCGCAAGCAATAGCGTCAATGCTCACCTCTCTGCGTGCCACTCTTTGCCTTGCAGGGAGCGGAAGAGAGATGCGTGTCAGGAGTTTGCACGGGCGAGGGGCCTCCCAGTGCTGCAGCATGTGCTGCTGCCTCGCACGCGTGGGACCTACTTGTGTCTGCACTCGCTGCACTCTGTCTTTGATGCTCGTGAGCCCACACCTCCTGTGTCCACTCTTGCCACCATCCACCTCTCTGCTGATTCCCGCACTGCTTTTACGGTATCATGTTGCATGTCGTTCGCTCATTGTTGCGTTCATGCGGTAACTACTGTATGTGGCAAATCTCCTCCGCCGCTTTGGCCCAATCCATCCACCATGAGTCCCTACACAGCAGTTCACACCTGCCTTGGCAACTCTCTTGCAGTCTACCATGGTCTGGTCTGGACTCTGGACACTGAAATACCGTATTCCTTCTCGTCCCTTGGCAGTGATTGACGTGACCGTGGCATACGACAAGGGGAAAGGCGGCATGCACGACCTGCTCAAGATGGCCATAGGGCACGGTCCAAGAAGGGTGTTCCTGCAGCTCAAGCTCCTCCCTGTGGGCGCGCCACTGGCATTGAGTCAGCACTCGTTCAACGAGGCCATGATTGACATTTATTCTCGCAAGGATGCTCTGCTCTCGCATGCGTATGCCAAGGGGACCATGCCCCCCTCGTCCACACTATGCTCCTTGCGCCCAGCAACCAGCATAGGATTCGCCTCTCTTGCTCTCAGTTTGTTGATGACCATTGCTGTTACTGTTTACCTTGGCACTTCCTTTGGAAAGTAATAGACTAGACTACGCTGGCGAATTTTTACATATTTGTTATACGAGATGCATATCAAGGCTTAGGCAGACCGTCCGTCAACGTTGTCGTGGTAACCATGTGTGGATGGCTTCGCGAAGCTCGGAGGTAAGGGCATGCATGGCGGACCGCCATTTATTACGCTTTCCTTATCCATGCCGTCCTCCTCTCGACCCTACCCGTCCATTTCACCGTACAGCACCGTGCCGTTCACATTCACCATCGCGTATATCTTCACTCTCGACCGTTTCGCTCGGCTCTTTTGGTTCTGAAACGCCGTTACGATCGCGCTGCTCGCCACGTTACCCGTGAGCTGCCACGCGACGCCGCGCTTGTACGGCATCTGCTGCCACGTGCCGGGCAGGTCGAGCACCGTCGTGGGCGGCGAGAGCAGGTCGCACGGGAAGCCCGCGACTACCGCCTGGCTGCTCGGCGCGGAGGGGAGGCCCGTCGCGAGGAACGCGTAGGATGTCTTATACGCCCACGACCTGCAGGGGCGGCGGGGGAAGGGGAGGTAGCACAGAATGTGGGGTTGGAAGTGTGGAAGGAGGAGAGGGAGTGGAAGGAGAGTCCAAGGAGTCAACACGAGACTGGTGGTTGTACAAACGACTGCGGCGTGGAAAAGTGTAACGGCTCCGGGCTTACGAGACGGGTTGTAAGGCATTCGCTGCGCCTCTATCATAGCACCCCCGTCATTTTGATCCAGTGGGTGGCGGGGCGGTATGAATGGAAGCTTGGCTGGGCTCGTAGCACCAGAAAGGGAGCACACATGTTGAGACGTTTGCAACTGCGGACCGCACACTACGCTGCGAGCGGCGAGCTTTTGGCTGATGGCAGAAGAGTTGGTTGATCTCGAAACCATTTGGGGCTGAAGCATTACTCCCGCGGAATTACAAGTCCATGGTACGGCGGGCCGGCCTCAGCCTCACCTCTCCATTGTGGTGCCGATAATCCCGGACACTGCTGGCTTCATGCCGTACACGCGCTGGCACGCCGTCATGTCGAACTTGGACTTGGCTGGCACGACGGGGACGGGGAGAAGGGGAGAGGGGAGGAAAGGGGAGAGGAGAGGGGAGGGGAGAGGAGAGGGGAGGGGAGAGGAGAGGAAAGGGGAGAGGAGAGGGGAGGGGAGAGGAGAGGGGAGGGGAGAGGAGAGGAGGGGAGTGGGGCGAGGAGAGGGGAGAGGAGGTGAGGAGAGGGGAGGGGGAGGTATGACGAGGGGGGAGGTGAGAAGAGGGGGGAGGTTAGAGGGGAGGCGAGGGGAGAGGGGAGGGGAGGTGAGAGGGGAGGGGAGAGCAGCCACGGAGCTGGTGATCGACGGGCACGTGGGGAGGCGACGCCAAGGAACGACGAGAATTGGCCCGCGGCGAACGGAAATGTGCAGGTTTTTAAAGGCGAGCGAAGCACAACGGCGAACGCTGATGCGAGGTTTTTAGGGAGAGATGGTGGGAATGATGGCAGGAGGATGGCGGGAGGGGTTCTGAGCGCTTACTTATCTGCACGGGGAACTTGTCTCGGCCGGCATGAGCGCCCGGTGCTACTACGGCTGCGATGCCTGTTGGCGGGAAGGGAGAATCGACGAGTGGAGCACAGAGAACGAAGATAGCAATGATATTTTTTCTCTTTCTCCCTCACACACACACACAAGGGTGGTTTTGCAAGAAGATGAAGTTGAATGACGGATTGAGCGCGGGGGGTGACTGCAATACTAATGCATGGGTCGAGTAGACTCACATAGTAGGAGAATTAATCGCGCCATGCCCATGCGTGATTCCATCGCTGTCAATAATGCTAGAGCTTAGACTATGCTGGGACTAGGGTGTATCTCGTACGTTGGTAGTACGTTACGTGATAAATTGCACAAGAGTCCTATTTATGTACAAGCGTGAGTGACTGGAGTCGAGAGGTTTGTGGAAGGGAAGGTATGGTGCGACGCGTATGTGTGGTGTGGTGTGTTCTCCCCCCGTTCACGACAAACGACATGAAGGTGGGGGGGAGCGTTGCTGGTGTCGGTCGGATCGGAGCTCCTTATGTCGGTGAGAAACTGGTCAACTGGGCAAAACGCAGCCGAGCCGAGCGGAGCCGATGCTGCAGTTGAAGCACTGAACGACGAGACGACATTTTATGGATACTAAGTTGTGTCTACTAGTTCACCGCTCCACTCCACTCAAAACCACTATAATCTACTCCACACCTCTAATTCCCTCCCACCCCAACTTGATTTGGAGCCGACAGGAATTGTTGTTGGTGTAGTGTCTATCTGCGCGTCCCGCCACATTTTCGTGCCGATGGCACGATGGAGGGACGGGGTGCAGCATTCGAGGCGCCTCCAAGCCCGCATGGACCGTCCTCGTTAATAGCATCTACACTCTGGTCTTCTGCAACTGACGGAAGCGGTTTAGTTTTCAACGCTGATACATGTAAGAAAGGTACTACGGTATTAACTTGCCCTGATTCAGCTGGGGTTCGCCTACCTCCTTCCTGTCCCATATTTCATCACTGCTTTTCGAGAGCTTTGATGAAGTTAAACGGGGACATGGGTGACGTGAGGTCATTTGATGATCAGTGGTAGATGGTCCTTATCATATAAATTATAAGCAGGTGATTGCAGAAGATTCCATTACAGGCAGGAACTTGAAAAGGTTGACTATCCAGGCTGCATGTTTCTGTTTCCTTGGGGCGCAGCACTCTGCTTGGGCTGTCAACTACAATAAACTGCTTGGTCTGCTGCATGAACCAGCAGATACAGTGAAATTAGCACATTTGGATCTGATTTAGCATTCAATACCGTATAGCCCCGGATATAAGCGCATATGCGCTTATAATGAAACCATTTTTTTAGGGGGTGGCGCTTGTAATTGAGTAACGGCCATAAGCGCCGGCGCTTATATAATGACAATACAAAATTATATGTTTAAAGCACCAAAATGTTTCATTTTCTTTCTGCCATTTCAACCGAGTCGATTATTTTTTGCGTCACAAAGCAGAATCGTGCGCGAGCGATATTCTGCCAGCACACAGAGGAAAACACACGTCATGCTAGCACATTCTGACTGGACGCGCAGCCAGTCAGGTCTTCGAGAGTCAAACGAAGCGAAATTGAAGTCTGACTCGCTGCAAAAATGAAGCTCGTTAATGTTCTAAGCAACATTTTAAATTAAAATTACACACGCGCTTATAATAAGTAAAGCATTTTTAGGGGGGGCGCTTATAATCGAGGAACGGCCATAAGCGCCATGCTCCAGATAGAAGCGCCGGCGCTTGTAATAGGCCGGCGCCTATATCCGGGGCCATACGGTACAAGAATCAAGACTACAGCCCTGTCAAATACCGATCGAGAAGCATTCTACGGATCTGCCCGAGTTCCAATGAAAACACTACAGAGCGGCTAGGTACATCCTCAACTCAGCACAGACGAGGCAAAGATCGGTTTGTATCACACCAATCGCGTGCACAACACCCATCCGCGGCAATACCGCCAAACAGGCCCTAGGTCATTCCCCCATCTGCCAACTTGAAACACACACACACATACACATATAACGGCTACTACATCTGCCAACAGGCATCCCAGACGACCTAAACTCAACAATACCACACACAGATACACAGGTACACCTCACGCAAGTCATTGACTCATGATTCATGACTCCTGAGACACGACCCTACACAGGTGCCACGAGCAGCACAACAGCCAGCAAGGCCCAAGCAGCAGATGCCGGTGCAGGCAATATCTGGGTGCTGGCCTTGTTGGGTGGTGTTGCTGGTGTAGCAGGGGAAGCTGGCTGCTGCAGAACCAGCGGCTCTGCTGCCACTGTCGAGACAGTCAGGCAAGGCAACAGGCCGAGACAGGAGAGAGGGAGGGAAAGAGAGAGGGAGAGAGAGAGGCGGGATAAGCGGTATGTTTGAGAGAAGGCACGAGATGCGATGGTACAGACACATCCTGGCACTGAACAGAGAGAGCCTTGTGCTCCCTGTGGCCAGGGCCCGACGGGCACTCTCTCTGAAACCTCATGCACGGTGGCTGGATCGAGTTGACTTTTGAGTCGACTCAAAAGTCAACCCGACGGGCACTCTCTCTGAAACCTCATGCACGGTGGCTGGATCGAGCAGCAAGCAGGCTTACAGTTGGCGGGCGTGCAGGCGGTGCAGAAGGAGGGGCAGATGTCGAGACAGAAGGTGGTGGCGGAGTGCTGCTTCACTCCCCCACAGCTGCTGCCGCTGCCAGGGCACTGCAGCCCCGTGTTGGCCGCGCCCCTGGGGGGAGGGAGAGGGGCAAGGAGAGCGGTGCGGTGCGGTGTGGTATGTTATGGTACGGTATTGGTATGGTATGGTACGGTATGGCATGGCATGGCATGGCATGGCATGGTGTGGTGTGGTGTGGTGTGGTGTGGTGTGGTGTGGTGTGGTGTGGTATGGTATGGTATGGTATGGTATGGAATGGTATGGTATGGTATGATAAGGTATGGTATGGTATGTATGGCATGGTATGGTTTTGTGTAGTATATGGTGGTGTGGAGTGGTATGGCAAATGCCTAGCGTGGCAAAGTATGGTATGGCATGGCATGGCATGGCATGGCATGGCATCATAGGTCATGAGATGGCAATGCATGGTATGGCATTGCATCATACGGCATGGCATGGCATGGCATGGCATACCACTGAGCGAGCTGGCTGAGGTTGCCGATGGTGGGAGGGATGGTGCCTGCCAGACTGGTGTCATTCATCTCACTGCCTTGCCACGCACGGACATGCACACAGCATGGCACCACACACGCACGCATGGCCACACACACACATACGCAGAAGTACATCACAAATGAGAGAAAGACACAGAAAGGAGCAGGAAACAGCACCAGTCCGCAACCCAATGGTGCAAGCCCCTCTTGCAGTCATTGCACCCGCCTCTCGCAGTCATTGCACCCACTCACTCCTCTCGCAGTCATTGCACCCACTCACTCCTCTCGCAGTCATTGCACCCACTCACTCCTCTCGCAGTCATTGCACCCACTCGCTCCTCTCGCAGTCATTGCACCCACTCGCTCCTCTCGCAGTCATTGCACCCACTCACTCCTCTCGCATTCATTGCACCCACTCACTCCTCTCGCATTCATTGCACCCACTCACTCCTCTCGCAGTCATTGCACCCACTCACTCCTCTCGCAGTCATTGCACCCACTCACTCCTCTCGCAGTCATTGCACCCACTCACTCCTCTCGCATTCATTGCACCCACTCACTCCTCTCGCATTCATTGCACCCACTCACTTCTCTCGCATTCATTGCACCCACTCACTCCTCTCGCAGTCATTGCACCCACTCACTCCTCTCGCATTCATTGCACCCACTCACTCCTCTCGCAGTCATTGCACCCACTCACTCCTCTCGCATTCATTGCACCCACTCACTCCTCTCGCAGTCATTGCACCCACTCACTCCTCTCGCATTCATTGCACCCACTCACTCCTCTCGCAGTCATTGCACCCACTCACTCCTCTCGCATTCATTGCACCCACTCACTCCTCTCGCAGTCATTGCACCCACTCACTCCTCTCGCAGTCATTGCACCCACTCACTCCTCTCGCAGTCATTGCACCCACTCACTCCTCTCGCATTCATTGCACCCACTCACTCCTCTCGCATTCATTGCACCCACTCACTCCTCTCGCATTCATTGCACCCACTCACTTCTCTCGCATTCATTGCACCCACTCACTTCTCTCGCATTCATTGCACCCACTCACTCCTCTCGCTCAAGCGTCATCCCCCACCCACGCCATGCCCACCCCTGCAATGCAGAGCGCTCACAGCTCTCTGAGATTGGTGAGTGCGCCCAGAGCATCGGGTATGGCGCCACTCAGCTTCTTATTGCCGTCCACCTTGCTGCACACATGGATACACCCATGCACATACGCACGCACGCACGCACGCACGGGAGGTGGTGGGAGGTGGGGGATGAAGCGCGTGGTCTATTATTCACTGGGAGCCTCGATCAGCGGGTGCAAGTACAGCCGTGTGCAGCAGAAGATGATGTGGGGAAAACGAGAAAGAAAATGGTTCTTGTGATAAATGTAGTGTAGCTGTAATTGTAGCCATACGCTTGACAGCAGTAAAGGTATTTGTAGCACTAGGAGCAAGGACAGGGGCAGTAAGCCAAGAAAAGACATGCAGAGAAAGAAAGCAGACAGGGCAATGGTGAGTGATGGCTGGTTGACGAACAGGGGGCAGGGTTAGGGTGGGGAGGGGGGAATGGGGAGCGGGGAGCGGGGAGTGGAGAGGGGGTTTGGCGGGTGAAGGAGGAAGGTGCTGATCCCCCTGAATGAAAGCCGACAAGAGGGTCAAGAGATGGCATGGGGAGATGCGGATACAGGAATCCAACGTAAGGGGATTAGAGGAGACGCGCAGGGCAGGGTGGGAAGGGGCGGGGCGGGGCGGAGGCAAGCAGTACTCACAGAGACTGGAGATTGGCAAGCTGGCCGAGGGAAGAGGGGATGGATCCCGACAGCTGGTTGTGCCCCAGCCACCTGCCATGTCAGCATGGTGTCATGCCATGTCATCATGGTGGCGTGCCACGTCAGCACAGCACAGCACAGCACAGCACAGCATGGAATGAGAATAAGTGTGCACTGCGCTATGAGCGAGCCACGACCTATAGTGGATAGAAAACCTGCGGGATAATGGAATGTTTAGGGTTTAGGGCTGTGAGACTGACTGAAGACTGACTGAGGACTGACTGAGGACAGACTGAGGACAGACTGACTGACTGACTGACTGACTGAGGAGAGACTGAGGACTGCCTGAGGACAGACTGAGGACAGACTGAAGACTGAATGAGGACAGACTGACTGACTGAGGACAGACTGAGGACTGACTGAGGACTGACTGAGGACAGACTGAGGACTGACTGAGGACAGACTGAGGACAGACTGAGGACTGACTGAGGACTGACTGAGGACAGACTGAGGACAGACTGAGGACAGAGTGAGGACAGAGTGAGGAGAAACATGGTGGCGACGCGGAGTGCATGCACAACAGGACGCACAGGGTGCTGGTGCTGCAGTGACAAAACAGCATGCACGCGCTTGGTAGCGAATGCATGGGATGGTAACGAGCGTGTGGCAGGGCAAGGCAGAGCGCGGCATGGCATAGATCAACATGGCATGGCATGGCATGGCATGGGATGGCATGGCATGGCATGGGACGGCATGGCATGGCACAGCATGGCATGGCATGGCATGGCATGGCATGGCATGGCATGGCATGGCATGGCATGGCATGGCATGGCATGGCATGGCATGGCATGGTGGCAGTGCAGCGTACAGCTGTGTGAGGGCAGTGAGCGAGGAGAGGGGGCCGGGGATGCTGCCCGTGAAGGCGTTGCTGCCAATGTCACTGTTGGGAAACGTGGCGTGGTGGAAGGGGGAGTGACGTGGTGAACGGGGTAGTGATGAGGGCACGGAGGCCGCACCGGGAAAGACGAACGGAGAGGAAGCGGATGGGAGGGAACGGATGGGAGGGAGGGGAAAGAGAGAGGCAGGAAGGAGGGAGTGAGAAAAAGCAGGCAGGGAAGTTCCGTTCTGTGCCATTGGACCTTGCCAAAGAGAGGTGCCACCAGTGCGGGGAGAACTAGCTGAGTTGCAGCCAATCAGGCACGGCAGATGAGGCACGGCAGATGAGGCACGGCAGATGAGGCACGGCAATGAATGAGAAAAGAAGAACGATCAGCCGCATGACCCTAAGTCCAGCGAGGCACTCATAGTGCAGCGAGGGGCACTCACAGTGCAGCGAGGGGCACTCACAGTGCAGCGAGGGGCACTCACAGTGCAGCGAGGTGTGGCATCTTCTTGATGAGCGTGTCCGAGAGAGAGAGAGCCACGTCGCCTCCCAGCTTGTTGCCCGCTGCTCCCCTGTGCCGTGGCAGGCAGGCAGGAGGACGCCAGGAGGGGAGAACGAAAGGTGGAGAATTTTGAGACGTCTCAATAGTGAGGTGTGGCATCTTCTTGATGAGCGTGTCTGGGAGGGAGAGAGAGAGCCACGTCGCCACTCAGCTTGTTGCCCGCTGCTGCCCTGAGCCGTGGCCGACAGGAGGGCCGCAGGAGGGCCGCAGGAGGGCGGCCGGAGGGGAGAACAGGAGGTGAAGAGGCGCGGGTTTGAAAAGCGCTTGACTGTGTCGTGAGAAGGCGACAGAAGGGGTGAGAAAGGGAGTGAGGAATAGAGAGAGAGAGCTGACAGTTCTCAAGGGCAAGTGGTTGAGAGGCTTGAGTAGTGTAGTGTGGATGGAGGATAGGGTGTGTGGTGGGGAATGGTGAGTGAGAGAGGGAGTGAGTGACAACGGGAGAGAGAGGAGATCCCTTGGCCTAGTACTTAAGCCCTGGAGCTATGCTCCAGAGCTCATTATTTCCAGCTTAGTTGTGTTCCTTCTCTTGTGACAACGGGAGAGAGAGGAGATCCCTTGGCCTAGTACTTAAGCCCTGGAGCTATGCTCCAGAGCTCATTATTTCCAGCTTAGTTGTGTTCCTTCTCTTGTGACAACGCCTCGCGCCGGCGGCCTTCGGCCGCCGCCGCTCGCAAGCGCGGCCTTCGGCCGCGCGTTAGGGAATGGCAAGGGAGATGACGACAAGACTATGCAATGAAGAGGGAGGCCACAACAACTAGGACAACCAACAAGGAGAACAAGAACCTAGCAAGATGACAACACCGGGCATACCGTCGGCGACACTATGCTACCGCCGTCGACGCCGCCTTACAACAATCACGACATCTCCGCGCGCCGCAGGAGCCGCTCCGTCGTCCCGTCAACAAGGCGGAGTGCTGACGCGAGGCCTCGCAGCACGTCTACGGCTGACCGCGAGCGCACTCGCGACTCCACCACCCTCATCACGTCGGCCACCGCCGCGCCCAACGCAAGCTCTCCGTCGGGCTCCATTTCAGCCCGCTCCAACTCGTGCTGCAGCACCCACGCGCCATCCCGACTCGCCCGCATCTGCGCGTGGTTCATCACGCTCACCTCCTCGGGGACATCCTCCAGAGCCGCAGCAGCATTGTCGATCATCAGACCAACGAAGGCCACAAACGACCGCACGTGGCCCAGACGAACGAGCACATGAGCCTCCACCTCAAGCAGGCGGTGAACGTCTGCACGCCGGCGGGGCAGCGCGCCCACCGCCAGGCGGGGAGCCACTCGAATCCCAGAGTGCCGACGGGCAGCAGATCGCCGAGCGGGAGAGGCAGGAGGGGATTCAGCCTCCACCCCCGTCCCCACTGCAGCTCCCGCCGCCTGCATTTGAGAGCCCAGAGGACCACCTGTCTGCGCTGCTTGAGGTGGCTGGTGAAGCGTGGGAGGAGGCGGAGGCATTCCGTACAGGGGGAGCTCAACACGGCGACCATCTGCAGCCTCCGCAAACGTTTGATACACGGGGGGGCCACCCCCCGCAGGCGCACACCACACCCCAGGCGGGAGACGCAGAGGAAGCGGTGCCACGGCGGGCTGTCCCGCCAAGGATTGCGGATCTGGGCGCGCGGACGATGGAACTTGCTGAAAAGGGAGTTGTTGATGATGGAGCTGTTGAGGAAGGAGCTGCTGCGGGGGGAGCATCGGAGGCGGGGCGGGAAGAGGAAGAGGAGGTACAACGGCTGGAGGATGAGGCGCCAAGTCGAGTGGGGGAGGCAGCTGGCTCGCGGACGGCACGACGGGAGCATCTGGACGCGATAACGAGCGCACCCTCTCACCCAGCCCTCCGAGAGCGCGCTCCACGGCGGCGGTCACGGCCGCAGTCGCGGCTGCAGTCGCCGCAGCCACAGCAGGAGCAGGCTGATGGGCGCGCCATCGGCGGGGAGCACGGCGGGAACGCGACTGGCCGCTGCCGCCACCATGGTTTCGCGGGGGCGGAGACGGGCGACGAGGCGACGCAGGGCGCGGAGAGTCCGGACGAGGGGATTCGCGACGACGCGGAGACCCCCCCCGCGGGGACCGAGGGCGCGGAGACGACGCCTGGGGTCGCGAGCCCCGTGCGACATCAGGCCAGAGCGCAGGAGATGGCGACGGGAGACGCGACGGCGGGCTCCGCCGCACCCCATGAGGCCGCGACAGCGAACGCTCCCGCCCACGGGTTCGCGAGCCCGCCATTGCCACGCACGGGAGCGGGTCGTCAATGGTGGACTCCGCCCGCGCGCTCCACGTTGCGCCCCGACGCGAACGCTCCAGAGCGACGTCCTGCGTCGGTGCCGGTCAGAGGGCGACGCGCGACGACGCACGGGCGCGGAGGCCGCGGACAGGGCCGCCGTGGTCGAGGAGAGGACGACGCAAGCGCTACTTCGCGAGGCGGAGGAGGAACCACGGACTTCAGGCGTGTAACGCGGCGGCTGCTAAGGGAGGCTGAGGAGGGAGGCAACACGGAAATTGTGAATGACGAGAATGATCAGGGTGACCCCCTTTTTACACTCGATGGGGAGGGGAACTTGGAGCCCTCGTCTGAGGACGAGAGCTTGGAAGAGCTGGAGCCCAGATCTGTGAGACACCAAGTTTCCAACATCCGAGCCGGATCTGGAATTCCCCCGCCACCAAGCCAACCGACTTTTTCGCCAACAGACCTGGCGAAGCGCAGGGACCTTTTCGACCAGGTTTCCACCTGGGACCTGTCCCACCTGAGTGATAGCCGTCAACCAAGCCTGGCAAGGCACCCACCCAAAGCAATTCGCGAAGCCTTCGCGACATGCCTCCTGACCCCCCTCCTTGCCCTAGCCTCCAACCCTGACTCCGAACCTGCCTGGCGACTGCTGCTGTTCCTCCCGCGCCTAATCCTCCGTGTCCCCAGCACCAAACGTCCAGTTTGGCCAGCCTGCAGCAGCCGTATCCTATCATTTAACCGCGGGAACTGGCAGGAATTGTACGAGGAAGCGGCCAAGGCTATTCAGCTCCCAGCCCAACCCAGACACACCACTGACGAGATTGGTTGCCTGGCCAGAGCTGAAGGCCTGGCCAAACGCGGGAACCTGAGAAAATCCCTCCAGGCCCTCCAGGCCACTCCTGTGGCCCCCACCACACCTGACACTCTGGCTGCCCTACAAGCGCGCCACCCTCCTGCCGAACTACTCATCCCTGACTGGGTTACCAGCCACGCCACTGACACCCCACCACTCATACCCCTTCGCGACTTCCGCAAAATCATCGCCAAATGCCCCAACGGAGTTGGAGCTGGGCCCTCAGGCACAACCTTCGAACACCTCCGTGATGCTGCTCTTGGGAACCCAGATGTATGCCAACACCTCCACGCACTCACCAACACGGCTCTCGCAGGCCAGCTGAGTCCCGAGGCAGCATCGCTACTCACAGTCTCACGTCTGGTTGCATTCGTCAAACCTGGAGGAGGGATCCGCCCCATAGCAGTTGGCGAGTGCCTTCACCGCCTTATCGCGAAATGTGCACTTTACCTGACCAGCGCGGCCGCTCGAGACTTCTTCACACCGCTCCAACTCGGCGTAGCAGTACCTGGGGGGACGGAAGCTGCCATCCATATCATCCGCACATACCTGGAGGAAAAACCTACCGCGATCGCACTCCAGATGGACATAGCCAATGCCTTCAACGCCATAGAAAGAGCAGCCGTCTTCGAAGGCCTGCAATCCACCCCACTCGCCCCCCTGCTCCCCTTCGTTAGACTCACATACGGCTCCGCCTCCACACTGCAAGTGGACGCGGGCTTCAACGCAGCTTCTCCAACAAGCGCGCGTGGAGTCCGCCAGGGCGACCCAATGGGGCCGCTACTCTTTGCGGCTGGTATCCAACGCTCACTTACCGCCACCGCCGCTGCGTTTCCGAACATCGTCATCATCGCCTACGCCGACGATATCACATTCCTCGGCCCCGCGTCCGCCTGCACCTCCGCCTTCAACCACCTCACGGCCGACCTCCTCCCCATCGGCCTGGCCCACAACCCTGCAAAGTGCGCAGCCTGGTCACCTGGCCCCATGAACGACGCCGACCTCCCCACTGGGATCCGCTTCAACCGCGCCGGCTTGCGGGTCCTCGGCAGCCCAGTCGGAACGGCCGACGGCTGTGCCACGCAGCTGCGGGAAAAGCTCGCTACAGCAAGCTCTCCGCTGCCACTAGTGGGCCGCATGGATCCCCAACTCTCCTACCTCCTGCTCACCCGCTGCATCAGCCGGAGAGCCTCCTTCCTCGCCCGCACCACACCTCTGGCCCTCCTGCCCACAGCTGAATGGTCCGCGTGGGGTGAACGACTGCTACACACTCTGCTTGCTGCGGCGCAAATCTCAGAGCCGCGCGCGCAGGCGGAGAAGGAACGGATCTGGAACCAGGCCAGCCTCCCCACCACCATAGGAGGCCTGGGACTCACCGACCCAAGCACGGAAGGCTCCTACGCCTACCTGGCGTCGGCCGTCGCAACGGCCCACCTCCTGCGCTCCCTTGGCTCCAAGCTACATCAGGAGGTGGCTGAACTTGCGCCACTGCTCGACGCGGACCCTACCAATCCAGCCGCACTGCCGCAACGCCTGGCCGCCGCGGAAGCCAGCCTTCCCCCCTCAGCAGCGGCTGTGATGAAGGTCGGGCGAGAGAAGGGGGACGGGCTGAAGCTGCAACACGCACTGGCGCTGCACGTCCACTCGGCTAAGGCTGTCGCCGGCGTCCGCAGCAGCCGGCGCATGTCCCCGAACCCGCTCATGGGCCACACGCAACGCCTCCTATCCCTCCTCGGACCAGGAGCTGGCGATTGGCTGGCGGCACTGCCCCTGACGAGCGCCCTTCGACTCTGCCCCGCCCACTACTCCCGATCCATCCTCTTCCGCTTGGGCCTCCCCCACCCAATCCCGCGCCAATGCGACTGCACCAAGGCTGTCAAGATCCTGGACAGCCGCTTGCCAAACCACCTGCTGCGCTGTGGGACAGGGAAGGGACGGACGAGCACGCACCATGCCCTGCGGGATGAATGCGCCCGCATAGCCAAAGAAGCTGGTTACACAGTCCACAAGGAAACAGCGCAGTATACGACGGTCGAAAACCTATTCGCGGACTTCTCGATCCGCGATCCCATCACCGGCCGTATACACATCTGTGACGTCACTGTCACCGACCCCATCTCAAAATGCGACAAGTACGCACGAAAAGGGACGGGGTGGGCTGCCCGTGTGGCCGCAGACAAGAAGACGGACAAGTATGCAATAAGGAATGACTGGGTGGGGTTCATCCCCATGGCGGTCGAGACCTACGGCTGTACCTCACCGGGAGTGTTCGAGTTTCTGAAGATGTGCGCTGACCTGGCCGCCAAGCTGCGTTTCAACGCCCCCCCTACCTCAGCGGAAGCAGCCAAGCTGTTCCACGAGTACAGGCAGCGCTGGAGTATCACTCTGCAGCGCGGGCAGGCGCACGCCCTCAATCTGAAAACTCACACTGCCATGGAGGCGGATGAGGCTGGGATTGCGGATGCCATCGAACCCCTAGCTGAAGGTTACCTGTTTCAACTCCTAGAACCCCCGCTTGGACCCTTTGTGGACCAGGCGGGTGGCGAGTAGGATGATTGCCTCGCCATCAATCTTGCATGCTTGTATGCATAGTGCTTATTAATACAACGGACCATTCGGGAGTGAGTGAGGGAGAGGGTGTAGGTTGCTGTGAGCTTACAGGACGCTGAGGCTGGTGAGCTGGGATAAGGAGGGGGGAATGCTGCCTGTGAAGTTGTTGCTGCTCAGCCAACTGTTGGTGGTTGCCTCGTCCGTGCACAGACACGCACACACACATGCACACGCACACTCCCGCACTCACACACACACACACACACACACACACACACACACACACAAACACAAACACACACATGCACCCACAAACGCGCGCGCGCGCGCACAAACACACACACACACACACACACACACACATACACACACACACACATACACACATGCATGCCCGCGCACATGCGCACGCACACATACACACACACACACACATACACACATACACGCATGCGCGCGCACACACACGCACACGCACGGACACACACACACATGAATGCACACAAACACATGCATGAGTGCAGATGCACATGCATTCGCACAGCCATGGTCACACAGATGCGTGAGTGCACACATGCAACGCTCAAAGGGCCAAGGCTCTTTATCCAACTGACCTATGCTTTCCATACATGGCAAGGGCGCGAGAAAAGCGAAGCGGATAGAACAAAGATAAAACCGGGAAGGCTAAGGGACAAGATGGAGAATAAAATCAACGTGCAGGAGAGGCAAAAGCAGACCACAAATGGGAGAAGCAAGGGAAAGCGAGGGAGAGGGGAAGAGAGGAGGAAGAGTGAAGAGGTGGCAGGGCAGAGCAAGCAGGCTGACAGTTCTTGAAGGGTGGTGATGGTGCCGACTAAGGTGGGGATGGGCCCCTTTAAGTTTAGGTCCTGCAGATCACTGCAGCGCACACATGCATGCACGCACGCACGCATACATGCACACAAGCCGATACACACGCATGCACGCACACAAGCCGACACACACGGATGCACGCACACAAGCACATACGCACGCATGCACACACACACACACACGCGCATACACGTGCACAAGCACAGATACGCACATGCACACACACACATGCATGCAAGCACGCAGTGAGAGGCAGACGAGGTGAAAGGTGGGAAGGAGGGGGCGCGAGGGGGAGAGAATTCAAGGTGAGTGTGGAGGAGGGAGTGGAATGAGGAATGTGGAATAGGAACTGGCATGCGACTGTCACGTCACGTCAACTGGCATGCGTGCGATGAGGGAAGGGAAGGAAGAGAAAGGAGGGACGAGGGCGGATGACCCGTCCCGTTCACCTAACGTGGACTCTATCTAACTCGTGCCTCGGGGTGATATTTGAGTTGAGCCCTCACCTCACTTAAAGGTCTCCTGACCTGAGTGAGACACGGTTCCTTTGAGGCGACGTAACGGTCACCTGTGGGGATGAGGCAGCGCCTTTTTGAGGCGCCTAAAAAATGAGGCAGCGCTTTGAGGGGTTGTTCCACTCGGGCTGAGGGGTGCTTGGGACAGGTGGGGGGAGCATACGGCGCGGACCGAGGGAAGGCGGCGGACAAAGGGGAGGAGGGGTTGTGGTGTGGGGTGCGGGGAGGGAGGGGAAGGGGGAATGGGGGAGGGGGAGTAGGGGGAACGGGGGGTGGTCAGGGAGAAAAGAGGGGGTGGGGCGGAGAGGCTCACAGCACAATGAGAAGGCCGGTTTCGTCGCAGAAGATCCGTTTGGCGGCGTCCGGAATCGCGGGTATGCCCGCCGCGGGGTCCGCGGTCATGCCCTTGAGCAGGTCCGGGGGCGTCAAGGGCTGCGCGCACATGGGCGCCGCGTCGCTCCACCCCGGGACGGGCGGCGCGATGCTGAGCGCCTTGGAGAGCGCCTGCAGCTGCTTGGCTGCCGGTGGCGAGGCGCGCGGGCGGGCGGGAGGGAGGGAGGGCGAGAGGGAGGGAGGGCGAGAGGGAGGGAGGGAGGACGGGAGGGAGGGAGTGGAGGAGAGTGTGAGGGAGAGGAAGGTCGGCAAAATAGAGGAGGGAGGTGAATGGGGATTGGGAAGGTGGGGTGGGAAGGAAGAATCGAGTGGGAAGGACGAGGGAGAGGATGAGACTTACAATGCTCCACGAACCATCTGTTCGTTCCACTGGCCCTTACTCGTGCATAACTTCCCGTCTTTATACGAAAGAGGGACTTACCACCGTCTTGCTCATCGCATCGCATCGCGTCGCGCTCGTACTTGGCTCCGGTACTCTGAGCCTGCCGCCGTTTGCGGAAACGGCTTACACCAGACCCTGTCCGTTTCGGTCTTACCTTTAGAAGCGAATGTGATTTTTCTATTGCGGCGTACGAACGAAGGGAGGGAGGAGTGGAGGGGAATGCCCTAAGAAAAAAACAAGGGAAAAAAAAATGAAAGAAATAATTAAAAAAAAAACGCTGCGGCAAAAAAATCGTTTAGGCCTTGCAGCGAGTGCTTAATACATTCGAGCCGCCTCCCTTGTCCTCCGATATCAATATTCAATCGTTCCTTTCTCTTCCAGATGACTACATTTCGCCTTTGTGCGACGAACGAAGAGGTATACCTTGTGCTGGGTTCAAAGGAATCGGAAACGGTGGGGGAGCTTGTTCTTCCACCGGCTGAGCTCTCGACGACGGCACAAGGCAGGTGGCCGCTAGGACGAGCGTCAAGAGCGCTGAACCGCGACGGCGCGCACCACAAACGTCGGGGGGGGTAGTAGGAGCCATGGCGGGGAGGCAAGAGGATGGTGGATGTCAGGAGGAGTCAAGAATGTGGGTACAGTAGTGTGTTGCGCTGCACTGTCGGTGATTTCGGTGGGTTGGTGGTGAGGTCTAAACGGCAGCGGATGAAATCGATGAACAAGAAAGTTCACTCAGGGAGCGTCTGAGTCTGGCTTATTTGCCACGTCAATTTGTTCATGACGGGTTACATTACAATTGCAGCACCTTGTTTGGGGTTTTCGCAAGGCGCAACCTGCGACCCCGCACTGAAACGTCCACGGCCGCACCGTTGTAAATTGAAGCGAGGGAAATGCATTGACACAGTGGTGGAAAAGTTCCCAGTTTCCGTTGCTGATGTGCCACGCAAGTCCCTAGGGCGGTACAGTACAGAACCTGGCCGATTTGACGGCCCTCTCAAAACCAAAACCTACCCGTAATAGCTAATACCGACCACAACCCATGGTTTCTCCAGCCAGCGAATCTCGCCAATGGCAGTCTCGGTAAATGTAGGGTGAAACGATGAGAGTAACTTTGTTCCATCGTAGGTTACAATGGCATTTCTCCTACATGAAGGGAGTTGAGTTGCTGCTCAGCACTAAATCTGCAAGGGCACAAGCATGCAGGAGGAGAGGTCAACTGGATTCCTCTGTACATATCAGGCCTTTCTTGAGAACGCAACAACCTTGAAGCCGTTCCACGTTGGCCCCTGTATAACAGTTGCAACACCGGAAAGCAGTGCAACGCAGTTAAACTGGTAACATCAAAGTTCTGAACGCGGTGGGTCACAGGTCAGAGCATATCTGCATGCCCCTCGTCCTTGCCATCACCAAAGCCCCACCAGCTGTGGGCGTGTGAGCGGGGAGTGGGAGCAGCAACAGCTGCTTCAATGTGCGGCGCAATGTCTAGAGGATTCACCGTGGGCGCATAGCGGCGGATGGTGACGCCATCCTTGCCCACCAGAAACTGGCAGGGAGAGAGAGGTGGTGCAGGGGACAGATGGTGGCACACGCACAGAGCATGATGGAGAGGAATGACTTGGGGTGGAAAGGAGAAAGGAAAGGGCGATGGTTTCAGGAAACCAGAGTTGATAACGTGCAAAACGGAGAAGTTAACCAGCAAGCAAACAAGAAGGAAGTGAGCAACAGCATTTGAGCCACTAACAGGAGCAAGCAAGCAAAAACAGCAGCAGCAGCAGCAGCAGCACCACCACCAACCAGCAAGCCACATGCCACAAGCCACGAGCAGCGTGCGCAGGACAGGAGGCCGATGATGCACAGGCAGGCACAGACCTTGGCAAAGTTCCATTCGATGTCGCCTGGGAAGTGCTGCTTGAGCAGGTCAAACACGAGGCTGTTGGACGGGCAGCACCTCGTCGTGCTGGCCGAACATGCAGCCTCCGTGCCCGAGCACTCCAGTGGCGCGTTCACCAGCGTCTTGGCGAAGATGCGGAACGGTGCAGAGTGGTTTGTGCGGGCAAAGGACAGGATGTCACTGTTGGACCCTGTGGAAGCGGAGTGGGGAGTGGGGCATGGAGGAAGATAGCGGGGTGAATAGGGGCTGTATTGGGTAAGCGAGAAAGATTGGTGTAGGAGGGAGGTGAGAAAGAGAGGAGGGTATGATGGCAGGTAGAAAAGAGGACTTCTTAGAGAACCTATGGACTCAGGGAAGAATGCAAACGAGCACACAATTACATTCCCCTATGCATTCTTTCCTTGTCGCCCTTGTGTGTACCGTTTGTATGCCCTGAATGCCCCATTTGAGTCAGCGTGGTGCCTCATTTATGCCCCACCTGTGCCATACTTGCACCCCGTTTGCCCCCCATTTACACCCCGTTTGCACCCCGTTTCCCCCCCCTGAGTGTCCGAGTGCCTGTTGCAAGTGCGTGTCACTCAGGACTGACTGGGCTCCTGGTTGCCAAACTGGTTGCAGGGGAAGGCGAGCACTTGGAAGCCACGCGCGGCGAAGCGGTTGTGCAGCACTGCTAGCTCCTCATAGTTCTGACTCTCTCGCAGGTGGATGGAGCACGAAGAATGTGTGGGATAGGGGGTACGGAAAGGGAAGGTGCGATGCGAGAGAGTGGATATGTGGGTGGTGATGCATGGGGGGAATAGAGATGCAGGATAGGTGTGTGCGTGATGGGTTGTGGGACGTGGAATGGAATAGACTAGAGTGGTGTAGAATGGCATATAATGGAGTGGGTACAGAATGGCATGAAATGGTATAGAATGGCATGGGCATAATAGAATGGATTGGATTGCATTCAATGGCGTGGGGATGGCATGATGGCAGCAGTGGGAGGAGGAGCAGCGTATCCATGCGCACAGTGACACGTGGCAGTGGTTGCTTTGTTGGATCGTACCCTCTTAGTGAGGCCGCAGTCACTGGCCACGTTCACCACCAGCGACACCTGCTCCATGGCACCCGTGCATTCATGCACCCACGCAATCATTCCGACAGACAGGCAGACAGGAAGGCAGACGGGAATGCAGCCAGGCAAAAGCGGGAGGCAGGCGGGTGGGTGGGTGGGTGGGTGAGTGGGAGGGCGGTAGGTGGGTGGCTGGCGGGCTGGCGGGCTGGCTGGCGGCCAGGCTGACTGGGTGGCGGCCAGGCTGACTGGGTGGCTGGCTGCGTGGGTGCGTGTGTGGATAGTAATCGCTTGGAAGGAGAGCGCAACGGACAGAAACTCAGAGGTTGCTGGGTCCTTCACTTGATGCTGCATGACTCGCCACTGCAAAGACAGTACCACTGAAACCGAAACCACTCGTCCCGCACGTACCGTGCCTCGCAGCTCGCTGAGAGCCCGGAGCTGACCCGTTGCGTCCACGGCGGGGAGCATGTACAGGCTTTTAAGCCGCGCTCCGGCTTCCACGCCGCGATTCTGGCTGCTGCTGCTGTTCGTTGCGGTGGCGGAGGCGACGGAGGCGGCGGAGGCGGATAAGGGTGTACGTGGGGCGAGAGAAAGCGAACAGGCGCACAGGGCGGCGAGAAATGCGGCGAAGTATGGTGCGTCTACGATTTGCCGTTGGAAGCGGACTAACTGGAAACGGCGAGAGTGTGCATGATGATGCCGTGGGATCCTCGCACCTTTCACTGAAGCGTCGGATTGATGCAACATGATGAACTCGCAGGCGGTTGAACGACACGTGTCGTCTGCTTCAGTCGCGCAGAATCATTAGCGAGTGTGCGTGCGGTCAATTCGAAATCACCAACAGGAGGGCGCATTCTCCCCAGGACTCGGTTTTTGGCACTGGGGTTGTTCTACGTCTCACAAAGAGGCAAATGTTGCAAATGTTGCGGATTGCTGATTTCATCAGTGAGTGTGCCAACCAAAGCAGTTCTCAACAGGGAATGGAAACTTTCTTCAGGAATTTGTTGTATTGATGGTTCAACCTCTGTGCACTAAGAATATACACTCCAAGCTTAATCATTATTGAACCTATAGTATACGCAACAGGAAGCCATCATTAAAGCAAGCTAAGAAAATCCCAATGGCCTTCACCAACCAATACTCAGCTCATGGCAATCCTACATCCTCCTAGTATATCCTTCTGGACATCTAGCTACGTCCATTCCTGTCAAATTATCCTCCAATCACTCGACTAGCCTCACGCCTTCACACAAGTTTGCCTGTCTGGAGACTGCTTGTACCCCGCGCTACACATGCAGATGGGCGAAACCTTGTTGTGCCTCACTTCCACCGTGCAATACCCCTTTCCACCGCACTGGGAGCTCCCAGAAGTCCTGCAGAACTGGTGGCACGACTTCGCGACCCTCTGCTTGGGCTTGGCGCCACAGCTATAGGTGGAAGGAATAGTGAGGCAGTTGTTGCCAATGTCTGCAGAGCAGACAGTCTTGCCGCCGGCGGTGGAAGGAACGGAAGAACCGAAGAAGTAGTTGCTGTTGAAATTGGCTGATTCTGGCGTGGCGGCAAACCTGGGCAGTGGGCCTGTGATGTAGTTGCCGCTCACATCACTGCAGGGAAGAATGCGGAAGGAGATGAGGGAGAGTGGGGAGGGTGAGGGGTGAAGAGGGCGCAGGGAAGATTTGGAAATGGAAAAAGATCATGGACTTTGAGTAGGCTCGAAGTGGACAAGAGGATGGGGTGTGAGTGAGTGGTACGGAGAAAGCAGGTTGTCGCAGGTGCTATACTAGTGCCGCTCCGCTGGAGCTTCTGCGAACGAGGTGACTTTTGAGTCGACTCGAAAGCAGGTTGTCGCAGGTGGGGTATACTACTAGTGCTGCTGGAGCTTCTGCAAACGCATCACAAACAGCGAGTGCTTTGCAACAACTGGGGGGTGGAATTCAGCACTGAGACAACAAAGGAGAAACAAGAAATGAATCGAAAGAGAGGATTCAGAGGGCGTGCTGATAGGCCTGAAGGGGGAAAAGAGAGGAAGTGAGGAAGAGAGGGATGAAATGAGAGCTGGCACTCACATGGACTTGAGCTTGCTCTGAGAAGTAAAGTCAGGCAGGTAGCCGCTCAAGCGGTTGTTCTGCAGGTTCCTGTGTTGGGGCGAGGGAGGAGGGGCAGATGGGGAATGCGGGTTGGTTGTTGAAGGGACGGCATACTTGCTGAGGGGCACTCTGCTATGAGGGGGGTCCTTGCGTTTGAGCAAAACAAAGCCAGTCGTCGTACATATGTGGAGCGAGGGCAGAGAGAACGGCGGATGTTGGAGAAGAATATGGCAACAAGGGACAGGGATTTTATGAGAATTCTCAAAGAATATGGCAACAAGGGACATACGGGTGGGTGGGAGGGGAAACGGCGCAAGCATGGGCTGGCGGCGGCTCACTCACAGCGTCTGCAGGTTCTTGAGGTTCTTGTAGGTGGCAGGGACGTTTCCGGAGAGCAGGTTGTCGTTCAGGGAGCTGCCATGGGTGGGGAGAGAAAGGATCGTGACTTTTGAGTCTTGAGTCGACTCTAAAGTCACCTGGTTGTCGTTCAGGGAGCTGCCATGGGTGGGGAGGGAGCTGCCATGGGTGGGGAGGGAGCTGCCATGGGTGGGGAGGGAGCTGCCATGGGTGGGGGAGGAAAAAGGATCGGGGTGGCCAGGAAGCAGAGATGGAGTGAGTGATCGGGGAGAAGCAAGCATAAGGGGCTGGGGGGGGGAGGAGGCGGATGATAAAGCGGCAGGAGGTAGAGTCAGTAGGGATGTGGTGGACGAGAGGTCGGAAGGGAAGGTATGTTGAACGGGGAGAGGGAGGTTTGGAGGGAGAAGGAAAGGGAGGGGTTTGGAGGGGAAGGAAAGGGAGGGGGTTTGGAGGGAGAAGGAAAGGGAGGGGTTTGGAGGGAGAAGGAAAGGGAGGGGGTTTGGAGGGAGAAGGAAAGGGAGGGGTTTGGAGGGAGAAGGAAAGGGAGGGGGGTTTGGAGGGAGAAGGAAAGGGAGGGGGTTTGGAGGGAGAAGGAAAGGGAGGGGGTTTGGAGGAGAAGGAAAGGGAGGGGGTTTGGAGGAAGAAGGAAAGGGAGGGGGTTTGGAGGGAGAAGAAGGAGAGGGAGGTTTGGAGAGAGAGGGGAGGAGAGCGAAGAGGGGTCGTGGGCGTGGGTGTGGGCGTGGGCGTGGGCGTGGGCGTGGGCGTGGGCGTGGGCGTGGGCGTGGGCGTGGGCGTGGGCGTGGGCGTGGGCGTGGGCGTGGGCGTGGGCGTGGGCGTGGGTGTGGGCGTGGGCGTGGGCGTGGGGGCGTACAGGAAGCTGAGCTTGGTGAGGTTGGCGATGAAGGCAGGCATGTCCCCGGAGAAGGAGTTGTACCGCATGCTCCTGGTGGTGGGTGAGGTGAGCCGTCATCATGGCGCATTGGTGCGTGGGAATGGTGTGGGCGGGATATGGTGGGTGGGGACGATGGGAGGACGATGAGCGGGGACGATGGGTGGAAGGACGGTGTGTGGGAATGGTTTGGTTTTCTCGTGTTAAGGAAGGTGGGTGATGGTGGAAACGGAAGGGCACAACAGGGGGCGATGGGATTGAGCAAGTGGGGGGAGAGGGAGGGAGGGTGGGAGGGTGGGAGGGTGGGAGGGAGGGAGGGAGGGAGGGTGGGTGCTGACAGGTAGTCGAGGTTGCGGAGGGCCTTGAAGTTGGTGGGGAAGACCTGGCGGAAGTAGTTGTCTCCCAACAGCCTGTGCGCGCCATGAATGGATGCAGTGTCATGCAGGGAAGAAGGGGGGAGAGGGGAGGTGATATTGAGTCGACTCTAAAGTTGCTGGGGAAGGTCTGGCGGAAGTAGTTGTCCCCCAACAGGCTGTGCGCGCGCGCATGTGGCATCGCAGGGGGGAAAGTGGGAAGAGGTTGGTTGCAAGCGTGTTGGAAAGAAGCAGGCACGAGTGGGTCCTCATGATGCATGGTGCATGCATGTGTGATATCCCTCACGCTACAAACCACCACCAGCGCGCAGCACCCAGCACAAGGCACCCAGTACAGGGCACCCAGTACCCCTGCCGGGCCGCATAGAATTCAAGGGCTCTCTTTTGAGAATTCTCAAAATAGATGTCAAGGGCGTGGAGGGAGGGAGGGAGGGAGGGAGGGAGGGAGGGAGGGAGGGAGGGAGGGAGGGAGGGAGGGAGGGAGGGAGGGAGGGAGGGAGCGAGGGAGGGAGGGAGGGAGCGAGGGAGGGAGGGAGGGAGCGAGGGAAGGGAGCACTGACAGGCGTTGCAGCTTGGTGAGTTTGCCGATGGAGTTGACGCGTCCAGTGAGCCGGTTCTTGTGCAGGTACCTGCACATGCCGTGCCGTGCACGCACACAAAGGGGGGTTGCTGCCGTGAGACACATGGATGGATCGGAGCGCGCATGGGCGAGACGAGAACGCGACGGAGGATTGAGAGGTTGCTGAGGCAACGCGAGGGTGAGGCAGCGCGAGAGAGGCGGCAGTGGCGGCAGCGGCGGCAGTGCGGCAGTGGCAGCACTCACAGCTCCCTGAGGTTGACGAGGTTGCCAATGCTGCGCGGCAGCAGGCCGTTGAGACCTTCCTCGCCCGTCGCTGCCAGGTTGCTGCCAGGGGGGGCGGGGAGGGCGGAGAGAGGTGGGATGTGACGTGCGCACGAAAGAGGAGATGATAAGGAGGGTCGAGTGTAAGGAACTTGAGACGTCTCAAAAGTCGGCGCGGGAAGGGAGGAGGAGAAGGTGCGCTGAGCGTGAGAGATGCGGAAAGGTGAACATTTGGGGGCATGGGAGCATGAGAGGCGTACAGGCGAACGAGAGAGGCGGGTGGCCTTACACACACGAGAGAGGTGGGTGCGGGCCTTACAGGTATACGAGGCTCTTCATCATGCCAATGAAGGCCGGAATGGTTCCCGTCAGCCGGTTCAGACTCAGATCGCTGCGTAAGAGAGCGCGGAAGGCAAAAAAGAGGAGAGAGGGTGAGCGAAGGAGAATCGAGGCTGCCGAGGCTGGTTGGGGGTTGGGAAACGTGGGAGGATAGTGGGCAGCAACAGCGAGACCATGTGGCGAGGGGAGGTGGTCCGCGTTCTTTGACGGAGAAGCAACGGCAGCGGGAACAACAGCGGCAGCGGCGGTAGCAACAGCGGCAGTTGTAGCAGCAGCAGCAGCAGGGGCAGCGGCAGCAGCAACAGCAGCAGCAGCAGTGAGAGCTCTCACAGGTACGTGAGTCGCATGGTGGCGAGGGCAGTCGGAATGGGACCCTCAAGTCCCGAGTCGGAGAGATCGCTGACCGTCGGATGTCACACGCATGCACAAACGGACGGATGGGCGGAGAGAGAGGGAAGAAGTGAGGAATGGAGGGACGGCTGGTTGAGGAGGTGGGGGGAGAGTCGTGTGAGTCGGAGGAGGTTCAGCGACGAGGCAGTGCGTTGCGAGAGCTGATGACGGTGACGATGACGATGACGGTGACGGTGATATTGCGAATGTCGGTGAAAGAAGAAGCCGAAAACATCCATTTCTGCTGATGGTGACGATGACGTAGTAGCGTCAGCCAGATCCGCGGAGTTCGTTTTTCATATACACACTTTGACACCAAGGGGGAGTGCGGCTGGGAGGATCGGGAGAGTGGAAAGATGGGGGAATGTGGGGAGGGGGCCGGCGAGGAGCGGAAGGCTCACAGGTGCACGAGGCCGCGAATGGCGGGGAGAGCTTCGATTCCTTTGGACACGCCGGAGTTGCCGCTCAGGTCCCTGCCGGGTGCGGCGGGAGAGAGGGCGAGAGAGCGAGCGAGAAAGAGAGAAAGAGGAGAAGAGAGAGAGCATGGGAGGATTCGGGTGAGGCTCTTCACGCGGGAAAAACGAAGGGAGGATGCGAGAGCAGGAATGTTGATAGGTAAGCAGTGGTGTGTGAGTTGGTGAGGGAGGGGTGCGCGAGTGCTCACAGGTGTACTAGTCCCCTGAGCTTGCCGAGGCTGCTGATAGATCCGTTGATGGAGTTGCTCGACAGGTCGCTGCACGGTGGGGCACGCGGAGACGCGAGGAGGCGGAGAGACGAAGAGGCGGAGAGGAGGAGGAGAGGCGAAGAGGCGGAGAGGAGGAGAGGCAAAGAGGCCGAGACAGGAAAAGAGGTGGAGAAACAGAGAAAAAAGGAGAGGGGTGAGGGGCGAAGGGACAAGATTCTAAACAAGGAAGTCGCGGAGGTGGAGGACAGCGGAGATCGAGTGTTTCGCTCGCATCGAGCTCTTTGATCTGAGCGCCACGTGTTCATTGTAACAGCGACGGACTCGCTCGCTCCTCGCGTCTCCCCGTGTTCATTTGCATGCGGCCCTCCGCGACCGCTCCCCGTTCAACCCCTACCCCGCTCGTCCACTTACAGGTATCGCAGCGACGCGAGCTTCGTAAGTGAGCCGGTGGAGCCCTTGGCTACCGCTTCCACAAGGGTCTTTTTTTTTGGCTCCTCAAACTACGCTCGTCCACTTACAGGTATCGCAGCGACGCGAGCTTCGTCAGCGAGCCGATGGGGCCCTTGGCTCCCGCTTCCACAAGGGTCCTGCGGACATGCGGAACGGGGAAGAACGGGGAGGGGAGGACGGCGGAGCGGAGAGGAGGAAAGGCGAGGATAGGTGAGCGGGGAGGAGAGGGGGGAGGAAGAGGGGGAAGGGGGAGGGGAGGAAGGGAGTGAGTTGAGTGCGGAAGTTGAGTCGGGGCGCTCGAGAGAAAACAGGCTTCCGTTGACGTTGCGCGTAGCTCATATGTAGTTCGTTGTAGAAGCAACAAAGTTGCTCGGGCGTCATGCGCGCCGAAACATGCAAGCAAGAAAAGAGAGTTACGGCAACGATGCTATAAACATCGCGTCGCTCGCACTACTAGCTGCTGCCACGCGGCAGATGTGCAGCCGACGCGACGCGGCCATGCTGCTGACATTGGCAACGTACATGTTGTTGATTAAGCCCTTGGGGTTGCAGCGCACGCCCGCGTACGTGCTGCAACGGCGCGGCGCGCCCGCTTGGGTCCACGTGGACGACCCCTTGAACTTGCCCCATTGCTGCACAAGCTCCTTCAGCACCGCGTCTGCTCGCACGGGAAAAGATTGCGGTCAGAGCGGTTAACTGTGAAATTACTACGAGGAGTGTGTCAGAGTGGGAAATGCTGGCTCTAGAGCCTGGGATGCGAGGCGGGGAGGTATTAAGGGGTGGGAGAGTCGACGGGGATGGATGAGAGAGCACGAGGGCGGACGTTGTGAAAGAATGCAGGCTAAGGGGTTAAGAAACAGCTGTCGGTACGGATGCTGTTGAATGGACTGCCTTACGCTGCTTTGGGTCGAGGTTCGGCCGCTGCACAGCGAGACATCCGGGGGTGTTGGCTGCGACAACCAGGAGCACGAGAACCGCCGAAGTGATAACCGATCTCGTAAAGCGAGCTTGCGACGGGGATGCCATTGCATAACCTGGGAGTACTGATTTAGAAGGATAACTCCAGTATACTAAAGTCTCTTACGGAGATATCTCCCAAGGATTTCTACGTAGAGGGAGAGCTGAGTAAAAGTCTTCTGTTTGATGGAAGAATCAACTATTGAAGTGATGGCTTGACTTTCTCATTTGAGCAAGAATTGGCACGAGTCAAGGTGAGAATTGAGAAGGGGACGGCTCGTCAAGCAGGCAACCTCGCGCCGTGATTCTGCCAAGCTGGACATCAATGTGCCGCGCGTTCCGAAAATAATGTGAAATTGCGGCTCGAGCTTTGAGGGATCGTTTTCGCTGGTTACTTTGTTCAGCGATGGATGACGAAACGAATTGGAGTACCGAGATGTCCGTTTGCCTATCACAAGTGATCATTTTGTCGCCAGGTAGACGTTCGCAATTCAAACCTTTCATCTCAAGGCGCCGTTGAATGCTTGATGGTGTGGCGACAGCCGAGGGCGGTTTGAAAACATTTGCCGCCATCACAGTGGCCTGGTGATTCTCAAAGCCGAGACGCGCTTCGAAGTTCGGAACAAACGTGGCCATGCCTTGGACGTGGCAAAAGTCTCCTACGAGATACCAGACTCGATAGCCTTATAGCTACGATTCGGGCAAACGAGAAACCCAGGAACATAGATACCAGTGGTTTGTCATCATAAGAAGAATAAGAAGAAGAAAAACAACAATGCCATCCATTCAAATCCAGGGTTTAGGAGCATCCTATAATCATGTGGATACACACTTGACAGTTTACATATCAATGACAACCAATATATCAATTCTAGACACGCCATTTTTCACCTGTGTGGAAAATGTCATAGTTATGACAATGATAATCCTAGAGTGCATGGACATTGGACACTGAGATGTAACTGTTACTGCATATCTTCTGGGATAACACTCCTTGAATTTACACCGTACACATCCTTGGGAGTTCTCATGCTTTTGACGGGGGTTTGGGGGTGGAAAAAGGGGGTCAGAAGGGCTACGCATACTTGTTTCCCGTTGTTCTTATCAGGAACAGGAATACATCTGAGCAATATGGTGCACTGCAATAGATACAAAACATGGTCGGCTGTCATGGAGATGCAAAACATCTGATGACTGAAAATTGTGCCTGGTGCGGGTCAACAGCGCTAGATGGAATGGCCCAGCTGGTGGTAGTGGCGGTTCATGTAGATGAGGGGATGGAAGTCACTAACATCCATTGCTACCACCTGCAGCACAGAAACAAAGGGGGCATGAAGGTAAAGTTATCGATAAAGAGGTACGCAAACCAGGAGAGGAGAAAATTGTGGATGTAAGTTTAAGACGATGTGACGAAATTGCAGAAGGGAGCATTTTGATAGGGCGAGCAAGCAATATATGACTCACTTGACCAAGGAGCAGGTGATGGTCTCCTGCATCATGCATGGCGTATGTGCGGCACAGCAGCATTGCCATTGTGCCGCCGATGCGAGGCACAATGCTGCTTGTATCAGCTGATGCTGCTGCATCGCTGCTGCCTGCTGCAGCGCCATTGTTGTTCACAGTGAAGTTTGACAGATTGACAAGCTCCCAGTCCTTCACAACGCTGGAGAGGGGAAAATTGGGGGAAGAAGAGTGTGAGGATTCAGGACCAGACGCAAATGCACAGGAAAGGGGTACATTCTACTAATTTCTCTGGAAAATAAGGCTCGGGAAAAAGGGTAGAGAGAAAATGAAACATTCATGCGACAGGTAGAGAAAAAGAGTGAAGGGAGCACCTGGAGAAGGCCTCTCGTGTGCTGTCCGCCTGTTGAGGTGCACATGATGGCCGAGCGACAGTGGGACACGGACAAGACATGAGATTGAGGGGGCCAACAAGATAAACAGTGAAGAGGGTAGGGGTACATTATAGAAGGTGGATGGCAATGCATCAGGGAGTCACATGTTATGCAGAGCGGAGCACGTATCATGCTGTGAGGAAAGGCTGGTGCACGAGTGGAAGTATTTCAGCCTCAAGTATGTGAGCATCACTTGTGCATGAGCAATCGCGGGGGGAGGGGAAGGAAGGTAATAAAGGAGGTGGAGGGATGGAGGATGGGAGAACGAGAATGCAAGTTCAAGCACAAATGTAATGAGGAGTGAGAGGAGGGCCACATGAAGGGAGGCAAGGCACAAATCGGAGAGCAGGCAAAGTGAAGAAGGGTTATGACGTCCTAGGGGTGTATGAAGAATTTCAAATAGCAGCCGAGAGAAAGTCTCACTGGTCGTGCGAAGCCGTTGGCGAAGTCCTTGTTCGCCTCGTTCAGTAAGTGCACACCAAAACCCGTGCTGCGATTCAGCACCTGCCAAGCACGAGCGTACACGCCATCGACAGTTTACGGGAATCGGAATTGGAATTGTGAGGTAGCAACATTGAGTGGTTTTAAAGAATAACGACGAACTGAGAATATACGGCAGCAGTTATGACGAGGCAATGCGCTGATCGACAAGCATTTAGGGTGGGAGGGTTGCTGGCAGGAGGTCGTACATCGAGGAAGTGGGATTCTTTGCGAATGCAGACGGAGATGAGCGGCGGATCCATGGACACACTGCACGCACGCACGACACGCTCATGTGAGGCACATGTTGCTGGTATTGAAATCACAAGGTCTCAAAACGCATGCATTATCGGATGTTTTTATTGCTGAATTTAACATATTTTTTTTTTTTACATTTTATGCCAATTTTGTGCCGCTTGTTGTAACGGTCGAAATGGGGCAATCCGGCAGTCCCTGAGGGACACAGTCGTGCGAAATGCTCACCTGATGAAGCTACTGCACGTCATCCCTCGCACGTGCAGCTCCTCATCCGCTTCAGCTTGAGCTTCACCTCCTCCACCACCGCTGCTGCTGCTGCCGCTGCTGCTTATCGAGCCTTGATACGCCGCAGTCACGACCACCACTGGCGCGGGAACGTGCCGCAACACATCCAGCATGACTTCCCGCTGAAACGGCTTGATCGTAGCGTGTTCCGCATCGGATGCCGCATCCTCCTCGCCGTCGGATCCCTGAGGGACTGCGAGCTGCGCTTCCGGAGTCCCCGCGTGGCTGCGGCGCAGCTGCCAGCTCGTTTGGTACAGCGCTGCGCTACTAGTGACTGCGCTGACATGAGCACATGAGAACGGGAGGCGGCACGGGCTGGCGACGGCGAGTGCCGTTACCGACTGGGGGTTCAGTAGCGAGGGCGTCAGTGTCGTCGTGTGCAGCGTTCTTTGTGCCGGATTGAAGCACCCGAGCGGAATGCATTCTAGAAAAGGGTCGCGGATGGCAGAAGATCGTGCAGCGGAGGTTCCAGTGGCAATGCGAGGAAAGCCGCGAAAGCGGAGCAACGACCGAGCGTGGGTGAGTGCGCGGCTGCTGCTTTGGAACGTCGCCATCACACAGGCTTCTGAGTGGAAGCTTGATGAAGGCACAGGAGGAGGCTCGTTCAGTGAGGTATGCGTCACAAAAACTGGTGATCAAGCTGCTTCAAATAGACGATGAAGCAGAGGAAAGAGCGTCCTTAAATTAAGCAGATACAGTCTGGTCGAAGTGTGGGCAAGCCCGATGGATAAGCCACCAGCCGCAAGCATAGTTGGGAGATTCCTGAGACTAGCTCTGATCCCTCGCCCAGCGACGGGAGAGGCTGAGGAAGACCCAAGGGAGGAACACCAATGTCGTCCCTGGCTGGAGCCTGGAGCCGAGTCCACCCCCTGGTGATTGTGGGGGAAGGGAAGCGACTGTGAAGTGGCGGTGGTGGCGGCTCTTCAGGCCTTCAGAGGTCTAACTGGCAGAGGAGTTGTTCAAACGACCCTCCCAGCTCCCAAAGTACAAAATGTCAGAGCCTTTATCATCGTTTGCCGCCCATTCTGCTCCAGATTCTTGAGGATGACACCATAGATGTCGGTGCCAGCCGAGCTGGCACGAAACTGGCCAATCCTGACGAGGAATCAGCGTCATAAAGCAGGTGTGGTGGTCATTGTTGATGTGTTCGGTAGGTGCACAAATAATCAAGTCACGGAACGCTAATAACTAATATTCTCTAGCCATCACGTTACGCTAATTATGATATGATGTTTTTGCAAGTAAAAGGCACTTTTCAATTCATGTGTATCGTGAAAGTGATATCATGTTTGGTGCTTGCACTCACACAATCTTCCATAATAATCCAGCATAACAATAGAACATGAGCCTCCACAGTCTTGCACCATGTTCCTACTTTTCACTGTGCATTATTAGTTTATAGATTGTCTGTTCTATTATTTCAAGTCAGGAATTACTGTACACAGAAACTAGCCGCGGTGCCGTCCGCCGCCCTGCGGTCCGGTGGTGACGGAGTATCCCCAACCACTCCTCTCCCACTTGACCGAACTGAACCGAAAACTCAACACCCAGAACTGGCCCAGAAGACGCCTTGTCCGCCGGGTGTTGTTGAATCAGTCGTGTCCATCCAACATGGACGACGAATTTCCCGATGCGCGTCGCAACCACCTGTGGAAACCATTGGTGTGCGGACTGGACGAGAAGCATTTGCCTTCGCATGGCCTTCGCAAAATCCACGACCCATCTCATCCCATGGCCCGAATTCAGACCGCATACCCAATCCAACGAACCTCCCCTCTACAGTGTCCAATCACACGAAAAGAAAGGCGCGAGCTATGCTTGATCATGTCCACTGTTCGCAGAATCAACTTTTGGTGCTCTCCAAGTTGTGTAGCAGAGCACTAACACCCGTAGGAGCATTACTAGTTCCACGGGTGATGACAATCCCTCGAATCATGCTGGCTGTGCCGTTCGCGGCACCTGTCTGGCTGACGCTTCTCACATCATTCCTGGTGTTCTCTCACGCGCGGGATCTCTCCAACCGCCGCCTTCCCTCGAACAGGAATTATAGAAACGTCGTGGTGACTGCCTTGAATTTCTCCTCCGTTCCCTCCTCGTCTTCCCGCGAACACGCCGGATTCGACGGCGCGCGCGGGAATCTCGTAAACCATATTCCGCACGGCGGCTCTCTCGCCACCGCCGCCGCCGCGGAAGTTGGAAAGCCGGCGCAATTTTCGACTCGGTCCGCGATAAGCGCCTATGACGGACCGCGACTGACGGGGGAAGCGGCGATCCCGGAATGGCTGGATCGGGACGCGCTGCACGAGTTGGAGGAGAGACTAGGAAGTCTGCTTGGCGAGCCTCTTGGAAACGACGAAGGCGATCATGCTAATCAAGCTGATCGTGATGCTGATAATGGCGCGTATGAAGTTGGTGACTGGGATTCGCCGGCGCATTGGAGCGATAAGGGTGAAACTGGAAGTGGTGGATCGCGGGTAGTGAAGGAGGAGAACGAGCTCGGAGATTGTGAGCAGGGAGTCGGCGTGAGGACGACAGCGAAGAGTGATCCGACGGTGCGGAGGAGATCGCTGCGGAAAAAGCCGATCGTGCCGGATTTGATCGTGGCTCAGGACGGATCGGGAAACGTCACTAATCTCCAGGTATGTAAATTTGTGGTTTCTTCCCAGGCGGGGTAACTAATGTCTAAAGTCTACCACGTTATATACTCACTTGTTCTAAAACCATGGTGACATGCCAATGACGAGGCTGACGTGCACTACCATGCTGACGTTTACTCGAGCAGGCACGTACTACTTATTGGTTAATATGGAGGGGTCGTACCCATACCTAGAAACGGAAGGAAGGGGAAGCCTTGACATAGCGGCTTTGGACGTACAAAACAATAACAAAATACTCAATTCCTCACGAATCACAAGCCAGTGACTGCTTGGAGCTTGGGATTCTCGACCACCTTTCCTGGAATGACTGTTAACGACTTAAGTATTAAGTCAACGCAGGCTAAGACTGTACAAAATCCAAGTTCTACACCTTTCTTTCTAAGCCAGTTGGATCTGTGAAACAAAATTGGTATGTTACTATTATCGTGTGCAACTCGTTCAATTTCAGTGATACCATTATTGTGTAATAAGTTCATACCGAAATAGTGTAATTTACTAAGGCAAAAATAAGTTCATACCATTATTGTGGAATTTTTATGCCATCTCTTTTGTAATTGAGCTACCACCATTTGCGTTGAGAAGCCTCCACTTCCATACATTATTTAACCTCTGTGCTGTACTCTTGGTGGTTCCTCTTATTTCCACGTTCTCCAACCATACCATCCTGACATGCCGCATACCACAACCATGGGCCATGCCCACACAGCAACCCAACACTTGCACAACCTAGAGCAACATCGCCACTCACCTACCCCCAAAACGCTCTCCTCTCTCACCACGCACGCTTCCTTGACGGTTCCAGGATGCAGTGGAGATAATTAACAGCGAGGAGAGCAAGGCATGGTACATAGTATTGTTGAAGCCGGGGCGGTATGTGGGCAACGTGGAGGTGGAGCGTGAGAACGTGGTGCTGCTAGGCAGCGGAGCATGGCGGACGGTCATCACAGGGAACCGCAGCAATGGCGCTGGCTTCGATACATGGGATACCCCCTCCTTTGGTCAGTCGCTCTGCATTGCATGCTACCCCAAACTTACACCACTCTCCTCTCCTTCCTCTCAGACATATCCTCTTCCCGCACCTCTCAGCTTCCCACAAACTCCCCTCTATTCACCCCGCCCTCCCCCACACGTCCGTCTCCAATGTCGTCTTGCTTTTCTAGCTATCACTGTCCTTGAGCCGACCCACCTTACGCATGTGTACCGGGCATGACTGCTCTTGTTTGTTCTGGTTCGCTTCTCGCCCCTCTTTCCCTCTCCACTCCTGCCGGCCACCAGCTGTGGCGGGCAATAACTTTGTGACAATGGGCATTCGCTTTGAGAACACTGCACCGCATGACATGGAGGCAGGAGTGGCGTTTCGAGCAGACGGGGACAAAATCATTGCGTACCGCTGCGTCTTTGCTGGATTCCAGGTGCACTCCCTCCTGTTTGTTCTCTTCACTTCTCTCTTTTGTCCCGCCTCTTCTCTCTGCCCTATTTTGACTGCTCTTAGCTCTCTGCTCTCTGCGCTGTCGTCAAGACTCCACATCCGTTTCCATCTGCTCAGCTCTGGTTTTCCATTTCCAACTGTGCAATGACGTGCAGTTTAGTAATCATTTTGCTGCTTCCAAGCATATCCAAGCCAGTCATTCTTGTTTAAATCCTTCCCTTCCCTCCCGCTTACATTTAAACTTCGTACCCACCCCTTACTCCTCTCTTCATTTGCCTTATACCACCATCTCGCCACCATTTTTTCCCACCTCTCCCTCTTCTTCCTCCTCTCCCTTTCCCTCTTCCTCGCTCTCTTCCTCTTCCTCTCCCTCTCCCTCTCCCCCTCTCTCTATCCCTCCCTCTCTCTCCTTCTCCCTCTCACTCTCCCTCACACTATCCCTCCCTCTTTCCCTCCCCCTCGCCCTCAGGACACCGTGAACTCGCACCGCGGCCGGCACTACTTCCGGAGCTGCGCCATCTTTGGCCACGTGGATTTCATCTACGGCCGCCACGGCGCCGCCGTCTTTGACCGCTGTCGCATCGCCCCCATCCCGCGCCCGGGGAAAAACGGCGCCGCCACCATCGCCACACACGGCGGAGACACGGCATCCAGACGTGAAGGCGGGTTCGTCTTTTACCGCTGCTGGATTACTGGAGTCACTCCCACAGTGAAGGCGTATCTGGGCAGGCCGTGGAGATCGCACGCGCGTGTTGTTTACATGTTCAGCTACCTCTCAGCCGCTATTGTTCCCGAGGGATGGGCTCCGTGGCCGGGAGAGAACTTTGGGCCGAGGGTTTTTCTGGGGGAGTATCGGAACACAGGGCCGGGTGCGTGGACGAGTGGGCGTGTGAGGTGGGCTCGACCTGGCTTGCTGAATGAAACGCAGGTGGCTCCGTTCATGCCGGAAGCGTTTATTCGGGGCAGCAGGTGGGTGCGTAGGACACCTGTGGAGATTGTATACCCTTGACGGTCTGCGAGATGAAGGCAGTGCGGTTGATGGGAGGCGACTCGCATGTGGTGCATGTAAAAAGCGGCTGTGGGATACAGGGTGGTGAATGGAGGGCAAGGGGTCGAATGCAAGTAGCTGATTTTTCCCCTATTTTTTCCAGAGGTAGATACGATAGTGGCCAGCATGGGGAGTTGTGCTTGTGAATACGAGCAGCTGAGTGCGGCTGGTTTGATTATGTTATTTTCTTGGCCTGGATCCACTCGCGTTGAGCTCCTCTCGAGCTCCGAGCCAGCTGGATCATAGTGCATGATTTATCGCTTTTCTTTTATGAATCACATTACCATACGGAGCCTTCCCATTCACGAGAACTGTGTGATGTGAACCTCAGTGGACCATACCAGCCACCAATCCTCTCCCATCACCCTTCCAACACCATCTTCCCCCTTTTTTCACCCCCTTATTTGTTTATGCACTCTCCCTCATCCGATCCCTTGTTCATACTGCAAGTTTTTGTCAATCACAACCGGAGTTTCACAAATCCTCCCGTCTTCAACAACGTTTCTCAATAACCGTACAAGCGACCCCCTTACATGCTTCGAATGAATGTTCCGTAACAGCTATTGCAGCGGCTGGATAACAGATGGCACATTCAATCGTTTCCGGTTTCAAAGTCGGCCATGTGGGTGACATTCATCATTGTGTCGAGTAATTAGAACGATAGCCTCCTGTGTTTTTGTCATCGTTTATATCTCATGAATGATGGAAAAGAAACTTGCTGTATGATTATTATTTTGTAGAGTTAGAGTTCTTTTGTTTTTGTGCGCTTCATAACACGCTCTCTCGTTTACAACTCATAACACGAGCGCACTAAAACAGGCAGCGCTGCCGTCCGCCGCCGTGCGGTCTGGTGGAGGAGTCGGCTGGAACAGTTAGCAAAGAGCATCACAGCAATTCATCCTCTGCTTGATTGCAGGGTTCTTGATTCGCTTTGGGGGACCCTGAGAGGTCAATGAGGTTCACCCTGCCACTGCAGTGTGGCAGCTGTGGGGTCGTGAAGAAACTGCAGTCTATTCACTCTCCCATTTCGGAGGTTGGTTGTAGAACGTTTTAAAACCGGGGTGCACATTCAGCTGAATGTGCATCAAAGGTTATCCCTTGACTGAGTGGGTTACGAGGTGTGCTTTCAACCCCTTCAAGTCGAAATTCGTTTCCCCCCTCCCCCGCAATTTCGTTTCCCCACGCCCCCGCAATTTCATTTCCCCCTCCCCATCGAAATTCGTTTCCCCCCTCCCCCGCAATTTTGTTTCCCCCCTCCCCCGCAATTTCGTTTCCCCCCCCTCCCGCCAATCTGTTTCATCCCTCCCGCCATTCGGTTTCACCCACTCCCGCCATTTCACCCCCTCCCGCCACCTACGAAATGCCCGAAGCTCTAGCGGAATCATTTTTTTGTCGCCCCTCGTGAGCCAATCACTGTTTTTCTCCAAACCCCCTTCCCAACATCTCAAGCCGAACCGCGTTGAATGTGCACCCTGGTTTTAAAGCTCAAGGCCCAAATTGCGGGCCGCGCGAGGCAAGTTTAGTAAGGTTGATCGAGTGCTGCTTTGCAGCTTTAGCTGGGCGAATTGTGGTTACGAAATGTACGAAGCTATCTGATTGGGCAGAACATTTGAGTCAGCGAATGGAACAGGTGGTGCGGGAAACTGGCAAGAGTAATATTTGTGCAATATGGGACTCGCGCAACCAAACCTGAGCGTCCCCTAGGCTTTGCTGAGTCAGCGAATTTTGTTTTGAGTGTGGCGAGAAGCTGGGCGAAACCAAACCCCTACACCCCTCAAACACCTCGACTTTCCTACTCTGCTTTCCCACCACCCAAGGGTCAACTTTAGTAATCCTGAACAATTTGGGCCTTGAGCTTTAAAGCAGGGTTACTCCTTTCGTGTTTAGAGCTGGTTGCAGGAATAGTGTGGGCTTGGTTGGGGAAGTATTTGCCATTTCGACTTATTTAAGTGAGTGTTTTGTCTGGTGTAGCTACTGCTAATTCAGTGCAGTTAGACGGGTTTTCCAGCGGATCACCTCAACAAAGGCGGGTGCTTTCTGTATGGAGCTCGAACAAGACAGTGCTGTACATAATGACAGCTGTAAAAATTGAAAGCTGTAGCCATTTCAGCAGAGATGAGTGGTACATGCGACAATGCTGTTTTTGCAGTGTGACTCCCAGAACTCACTCGGAATATGGGCTATACAGGGTAAATTCTCCTGAAATTCGTTTCCCTGCGTGAAAGCTCTCGTCCAGCGACCGAATGTTGGAGCACTCGTGGCCAATCTACAACATGGGCGATCAATTCCCGTTGCGCGTCGCAACAACCTCTGGGATGGGTTGGTGGACGAAATGAAAGAGGGGCATTTGCGTTCCGACGAACGTCGCTAGATCCCGAGCCATCCCGTTTCCTTACCGGAAACCCCCCCAAACCAACCGAATACCGAACCATCCAACCAACCCTGGTAACCATTCACATAAGAACCACGGAGTGGAGAAATTGTGTTCGATCAGTCACAGCGATCAAAGTGTCCCTGCATCAGCAACTTTAGGTGTTCTCGAAGTTGGTGCAGCAGGGCACTCATCCGTGGGAGCACTATTCTCTTCCACGGGCCATGGCCATTCCTCGCACGGTGCCGTTCGCGGCAGCGGCTTGGCTGACGCTCTTCGCATCATCTCTAGTGTCCTCTCACGCACGGGACCTCTCCAACCACCGCCTTCCCACCACCAGGAGCTCCGAAGCCGTTGCGAAATTTCCCGCAGTTCTCTCCTGGTTTTCCCCCGAAGACGCCGGACATGACCGCGCGCGCGGCGATATCGGAGATCCGACTTCGCACCGCAGCTCTCCCGCCATCGCCGCTGCCGCCGAAGTCGAAAAGCCGGCGCGATCCTCGGCGCGGTCCGCGATAAGCGGCTACTATGACGGACCGCGACTGTCGGGGGAAGCGGCGATCCCAGAGTGGTTGGACCGGGACGCGCTGCGAGATTTGGAGGAACTACTCAAGGATGTGCTTGGTGGGCCGCTCGGAAGCGGCGACCATAAACATCACGATGATGATGATGATAATGAAGTTGATGACGGCGGCGCGTTTGGAATTGGTGACTGGGATCTGCCAGCGGGGCCTAACAATTGGAGCGACGAGAAGCAAAATGGAGGTGGTGCGTCGCGGGGAGCGAAGGACGCGAGTGCGGCGTTCGGGAATGGGGAGCGGGAAAGCGGCGCGGGGGCGACAACCGGCGGCGCTAGTACTAGCCGCAGCAGCAGCAGCAGCGCAGGCGACCGCGGTTCCATCATCCGCGGAAGCGATTGCGGCAGCAGCGACTGTGGTGGTACGGAGAGAGTTCCGACGGGGAAGAGGCGATCGCTGTTTGGAAAGCCGGTAGTGCCGAACCTGATCGTGGCTCAAGACGGGTCGGGAAACGTCACTAACCTCCAGGTATGTGCGTACGCGTTGGTTCGTTCGCGGGCGGGGTGAATAATATTTAAGGCCTACTACCACATGGAGTACTCATTTGTCCAAAAACCATGCTGATGCCAAAAACGCATGCAGCTTAAAAACATTCAGTGACACTCTTCAAAAACTAGAATTGGCTCTTACCCACTTTGGGAGATCTCTGCAGTCTCTTATGTGATTGAGTTACCCCCATTTGCTTTGAAAAGCCTCTCCCTCCATGCATGGTTCGTCCTCTGTGTGGTATTCTTTCATTTTCCTCTTCCCATATTCTCACCTACCCCAAACCCCTCTCCTCTCCTCTCACACCCCGCCTGCTCCCACGACGACGGCGCCAGGACGCTGTGAGGATTATCAACAGTGATATGAGCAGGACATGGTACATAGTATTGTTGAAGCCGGGGCGGTATGTGGGCAACGTGGAGGTGGAGCGAGTGAACGTGGTGCTGCTAGGCAGCGGTGCATGGCGGACAGTCATCACAGGGAACCGCAGCAACGGCGCTGGCTTCGATACATGGGATACCCCCTCCTTCGGTCAGTCGCTATGCATGCTACCCCGCACTTACACCACTCCCCTCTCCTTCCTCTCAGATTCCCTCACCAACCCTCCCTCCCCCTCCCCTTCTCCCCCCCTTCCCCTTCGCAGCTTCCCTCAAATCTCCCTCTTCTCTACCCCGCCCTCGCCCCCACGTCCGTCTCAATCTCTCTCTAGCTTTTTTTAGCTACCACTACCCCTGAACCGTTCCTGTTGCGCTTCCAGCTATGCGCTGCGCATACTCATCCGTACTAAGCTTGTTTTTCTGGCTCGCTTCTCATCCGTCCATTTCTCTCCGATTCTGCCGGCTCTCAGCTGCGGCGGGCAACAACTTTGTGACGATGGGCATTCGCTTTGAGAACACAGCACGGCCTCGCATGGAGGCTGCAGTGGCGTTCCGAGCAACCGGGGACAGAACCATTGCGTACCGCTGTGTCTTTTCTGGCTTCCAGGTACACTCTCTTCTCTTCTAATTGCTCTCCTCTCTTTGGAACTGCCTCTGCTCTCCTGCCTTATTACTCTGCCCTCTTCTGGCTGCTCTCTCCCCTCTGCTCGCTCGCCTAGACCCCATATCCGTCTCCATCTGGTCTGCTCTGCTTTTCCACTTCCAACCATCCTGTCACTTGCAAGCATAACTGAACCAAGCAATCCAATAGATGCCCTTCCCTTCCCCCAATTTCTCTCTGAGCCTTCATCCAACCCCTACTCCTCTCTTCTTCTGCCTTACTCCACCATCACACCACCCGTTTCACCCACCTCTCCCTCTTCTTCCCCCTCTTCCTATCCCTCTTCCTGTCCCTCCCTACACCCCCATCTTTGTGCCTATCTTTGTCTCACTCACTCTCCCTCGCTCACTCTTTCGCCCTCTTGCTCCCCTTCCCTTCCCCTCTCCCTCTCCCTTTTCCTCAGGACACACTCAACGCGCATCAAGGCCGGCAGTACTACCGCAACTGCGCCATGTTTGGCCACGTGGACTTCATATACGGTCGCCACGGCGCCGCCGTCTTTGACCGCTGCCGCATCGCCCCCATCCCGCGCCCGGGGCAAACCAGCCCTGCCATCATCGCCACACACGGCGGAGAATCGCTCTCAAAACGTGAAGGCGGGTTTGTCTTCTACCGCTGCATGGTTTCAGGAGTCACTCCAGGGTTGAGGGCATATCTGGGCAGGCCGTGGTTCCCTCACGTGCGTGTGATTTACATGTTCAGCTACTTGTCAGAAACTATCCTTCCCGAGGGGTGGGCTGAATGGCCCGGAGAGATATTCGGGCCGACTTCGTTTCTGGGGGAGTACAGAAACACAGGGCCGAGTGCAGGGGTGAGTGGGCGTGCGAGGTGGGTTCGACCTGGGCTGTTGAATGCAACGCAGGCGGCTCCGTTCATGCCTGAAGCGTTTATTCGGGGCAGCAGGTGGGTGGGCAGAACACCTTTGGAGATTGTGTACCCTTGACGGCCTGGGAGATGAAGGTTTGGGTAGATGCCATTGAGGCCAGCATGGTGTTTTTGGCCTTGATGCACATGGTTTGTGGCGAGGGTCCGCTGCCCTTGAGCTCATCTCGAGCTCTGTACCAGCTGGATCGTAGTGCATATTTTTTCCTCCTTTTTTTGCGGAGTGTTTGTGAACCTCAGTGGGCCATACCACCAATGCACCGCAAAAAGCGACTGCGCTCGTTTCTATTGTCGGTGTCTTCAATCATGGCCAGTGGCCACAGTTTTATTGAAAGTAAGTTGAAGTCCTTTTGTTTGTATGCCTATCCGATATATACAAGGTAATGCGAAAATCATACTGTAACAATTTTCCTGGGATGGTCTATATTTTGTGTTTGAATTAGAGATAACATTGTTATGTGTTGTAAGAAGAAGAGTTGCGCAGAATGCAATATCGCGGAAGTGATTACAACGTCTGAGCAAATAATGAGGCATAGGGATAATATAGCAAGAGCTAGCTAGGCCGAGGTCGTAGGACCGTGCAAGGTCGGGTGCAGGTTTGGGATTGGAAACCCCGAAGGCGACGCGAGGGACGTTCGGAAGGCGAGGTCGTCGGACCGAGCCTGAACTCCGAAAGTTGGAGTTGTACGCGCATAAGGTGCATGATGGAACATGATGGAATAAGGAAAATTCCTTACAAACATGATGGAAGAGTACACACAAAGAGTGCATAGAGCACTCAGTAACACAGCACACCTACGAAATATCTCACTTTGTTTGTCCTCCCCTCCGCACACGCCTTTCTGAATGTGGTTCGCCGCCACAAACCTCAGAGCAACATGTGGGGTGGGCTCTGCTTGGTTGGGAACTAGTACAAGAATGCTTTCTTTCAGAAATACGATCAGTAAACGTTTGTTTTAAGAATCACTACTAGTTTCGTACCCGATTTCTGAACTGGGGTTTCGACTTTCTTGCTGCTGATGATCTGATGGTTTACGACGGAAAATCTGTCGGAACAATCCGAACAAACCCTCCGGAACGTTTGGGTATGACGGACCTTTGCTGAGTATAAGCCACCAAAACACCAAAACATCGCCCGTACCTCCCCCATGAGCGGCTGGTGTCGCACACGAGTCAGCTTCACAAGTTTCTGGAGGAAGCCGCCAGAGCACCATGTGACGTGGCAGGTTTGGCAAGCTCACTGTCTGGAAGCTCATCATCACCCTCAATCGCCGGCAGCTTGGGAAAGGTGCCTAACTGGTTCGACATCGAGGTTCGGGTGAAGGTTATAGCGGCGTCCCGGCGCCGCCGAATCACGCGACTTGGCATGCCAAGGCTGATAAGGCGGCTCGGCGAGAATCCAAGGTACAAAGCGAAGGCTTTCGCTGAGTCGTAGACATCTCGTGTAGCGTTGTGTTACCTTTCCAATTTCGCAATTGTCGTACGGCCCCCCTTGAACCACCACTTGCCCCCGCTTTGTCTCGCAACCCTACGGACGACTTTCAAAACCTCACAGCACTGCTACTCTTGGCAAACAAAGTTCACCTCCACATCCAGTGTGCCTCACAAGCTCTCAACAATGGCGTCGTTTTCGCGTGCAAATCGTCAACTGCTAGCTGCTGTCTTCGCGGCGTGCCTCACCAGCACCTTCTGCCTCCATGTGGACTCTCTGCGCCTTCCGCTCGCCAGCAAGATCAACAGCGACGACCGTAATAATCACCGCACCCCCTAGGAACCGCGGCGTCAAGCCAAATGCATCATCTCCTTCCGTCACGCGCGCAACTACGCGAAATATTTATATCACGACCTTGATATGCCTTTTTTTTCACGCCGTTCTTGTTTTGGTTTTGGTTTGGTTCTTGTTTTTTCTTGTTTTTTTCACGCAAAGTTTCTCTCGTTGTTTTATCTATCTCTTTGTTGTTTTCAAGAAACGCTCCTTCCTTTAATGGCAGCACCCCTCGCACCGTGCTCCAGCCGTCTGTATAAAGGCTCTCGCTCGCGCGCACACCCTCTTCCCATTCTCCACATCTTTGCTTTGTCGCAAGATTTCCCGCCCCTTCTTCCCCCGCGCGCCCCGCACCGTCCCCCGAACCATTGCGCAGAGATGGTTCTGGAGGACTTGGTGGGTGCGTGGGGCGACTTCACGGGTTCTGACACGTGGAAGGACGCGGACAAGAAGTGCGACCACTACGTGGGCATCAAGTGCGCCGACAACGGCTATGTCATCAACATGTGAGCCGATTCGCGCCGACGCGCGGCCGCGCATCGCGTGAGAAGAACTCCGAGTCGGCTGCTCTTTGTTCTTTTCTGTTTCTATCACGCGTTCATTTGTCACGCGGGATGGACGCCGAGGCGATGAGTTTCGTCACACCGCCGTCGCGTTTCCTTCACTGAGCTGCCGTCGTTGAGCATTTGCACGACCGCCGGGCTTTTTCAGCAATAGGTTTCTTTAAGCGCCTATTAAAACCATCTCAGCTGACACCTCCCCTCTTCCCGAATCGGCCATTCTGCTGCGTGTCTCCCGCCGTGCTGGCAGGACGATCGCGGACGCGGGCGCGTCGGGAGCCATCGGCGTGCTGACGAAGCTGCAGAGCCTCAAGTACCTGTACGTGCGACGTGTGATGTGCGACGTGCGACACGTGATGTGCGACGTGCGATGTGCGACACGTGATGTGCGACATGTGATGTGCGACGTGCGATGTGCGACACGTGATGTGCGACATGTGATGTGCGACGTGTGATGTGCGACGTGTGATGTGCGACCGTGATGTGCGATGTGTGATGTGCGACGTGTGATGTGCGATGTGCAACACCACATTTCCCTTTGCATCTGCGCCTTCCTGCTTTCTAACACGGTCGTCATGCGTTGATTCCTTGACCGTTGGTTTCGTGTCGGTTGATCCCCCTCCGTGCGTCCATCTGTCTGCGCCAATGCAGTGACCTCTCTGGTAACGACATCACTGGGTCCGCCGCCTCGCTCTCCAAAATCACTGCTCTCTCTTACATGTGAGCACCGCCCGCTCCTACATGTCAGCCGCGCCCCTTTTCTTACATGTGAGCACTCTGCTCTGTGCTGCTCTCTGCACTGCTGCAGTTACCAGGCTACCAGCGCCCCCTGCCCTCCATCGCCTCCTTCTCCCCTTCCACGCTCTCGCCCCTCCCACACCTTCGCTCCTCCCTGCCAAAGGCTCCGACCTGGTTCTTGCTCGTTCTTTTCCCAGGCAAATTATCAGCCCACTGCTGTACTGCTGTTCCAATCACCGCACCAACCCAACTTCTGTGTCTCCTACCCTCTCCCCGCTCCCTCCCGCTCCCCCACACCCTGAGCAGAGACGTGTCGGGCAACAGCAACCTGAACACGGGGTTCTCATCGCTCACCAACCTCAAGCAGCTCAAACACCTGTCAGTCACCCGCCGTCTCTTCCCTCCCCCCCACCCATCGCCCCTCAGTAACCCAACATGCTCCTCTGTCCCTTCGTCTCCAGTCTCGCAATTATTTTTGTGCGTGCGCGCGCGTGTGTGCCAGCATGTGTGCGTGCGTGCGTGCGTGCGTGCGTGTGTGTGTGTGTGTGTGTGTGTGTGTGCGCGTGTGTGTGTGCGTGTGCGTGCGTGCTCCTCAGTCCCTTCGTCTCCAGTCTCTCTTTGTTTGTTTGTTTCTTTGGTTGTTTTCTCTGCTTGGTTTATTTTAGTCTCCCTCTCCTGCCGTCACCTGCGCCTCATCACTCCTTCCCTGCAGTCAGGACTTACCACCAATCAAACCACAATAAACTCCTTCTCCCTCTCCCTGTCACCCACCCACTCTCTGCCGTTGCTCATCCCCGTTAGGGACATCGCCGACACTGGCTACGAGGGCTCCATCTCCACCTTCGTCTCCAAGCTCACAGACCTCACTCGCCTGTACGCCCATGCTTCCCATGCCCATCTGCTCATCTGCTCATCTGCTCTGCCCAGCCATCTACAATCCCGCCTCCCTCCGAGTGGCACCTGGCCCCTTGTCGTTCCTCCTGTCCGTCACCTAGTGCTGCTACGTCCACTGTCCCACCACTCCCTTTCTTCACCGCCCCTTTCCAGACCGCCTCGCTACCTGCCTTTTGTTCGGATTCCCTGCCGCCGCTCTTCCTGCACGCTACTTTGTGTTGCGCTCTTTGTATCGTGTCATTGCTTCCCGCTTCTGCCTCCTCCCTTTCCCTTTCACCCTTCACCCCTCACCCTACACCCCTCACCCTTCAACCTTCATCCCTTCCCCATTCCCACTTCCCCCTTCCCCCTTCTCCCTTCGGCCTGCACCGTCCTCGCCCCCTGCTCACCCACCGTGCCGCCTTTACCCTCCCCCCCGTGCCACACACACCACACCACACCAGCGACATGAGCTCCAACTTCCTCACCGGGTCCATCCCCAACTACCTCAGCACTCTCAAGAAGCTCGTGTACCTGTGAGTCGCTCACTCACTCCCTCACCCTGTGAGTCGCTCACTCACTCCCTCACCCTGTGAGTCGCTCACTCACTCCCTCACCCTGTGAGTCGCTCACTCACTCCCTCACCCTGTGAGTCGCTCACTCGCTCCCTCACCCTGTGAGTCGCTCACTCACTCCCTCACCCTGTGAGTCGCTCACTCACTCCCTCAACCTGTGAGTCGCTCACTCACTCCCTCACCCTGTGAGTCGCTCACTCGCTCCCTCACCCTGTGAGTCGCTCACTCACTCCCTCACCCTGTGAGTCGCTCACTCACTCCCTCACCCTGTGAGTCGCTCACTCGCTCCCTCACCCTGTGAGTCGCTCACTCACTCCCTCACCCTGTGAGTCGCTCACTCGCTCCCTCACCCTGTGAGTCGCTCACTCGCTCCCTCACCCTGTGAGTCGCTCACTCGCTCCCTCACCCTGTGAGTCGCTCACTCACTCCCTCACCCTGTGAGTCGCTCACTCACTCCCTCACCCTTCCATGACTCACTCTCTCCCTCTCTCTCATGCGCTTTTGCTGTGGGACGCTTGAACCAGCATTCCTCGAGCACTTGCCTCAAGCTTATTATTCACCTATAACCCCTCTGCTCTCTCCACCTGCTCTCTCCTCCTGCTCCCCCGTCCCCCACCCCTCAACTCCCTCTGGTGCATGCAGCGGGCTGTCAGCCTCGGGGGAGGACGGGCTCAAGGGGACCCTGCCCTCCGGCCTGGGGAAGCTCACCCGCCTCAACGAGCTGTGAGCGCTCTGGTTCCGGGGGGACCAGCGGAGGGGAGGGGCGTGCTGAGAGTGTGGAGAAGGTGGGGGAGTGGAGGATCAGTGGTTGGGCAAGAGTGGGATAAGATGGGTAGCATGAAGGGGAGGAAATTGAGAGGGGAATGGGAAAGGGAAAGGGAAGAGGGAGGGGAAGAAGAGGAGGAGTGAAAAGGTATAGGAGGTTTTGAGGAAGGAACTGATGGTTTTCCTTGTCTGCTCACTCCTGCCTCAACCTCAACACTGCCCCACCGTCCCCTGCCCTCGTTTCCACCCTCTCCCTCCCAACCTCCCCCGTATTATTGCAGGTACCTGCATCGCAACGGCCTGAGTGGGCCTGTGAGCGTGCTCAGCTCCCTCACCAAACTCAACCGCCTGTGCGTGCTGCTGCCCCTGCTGCTGTTGCTTCCATTATTGAAAACCATTTGGTCCAATATTTTTGTTCACTGTACCCATCCGAATCCGCACCTTTCTCATTGTTGGCTCACTTGTTGTGATATCAACGCCACTCCACTGATCCCCGGCCTGCACCCCCCCTGACTGATCCCATACCCCCGTGCCATCGTGCTGGCAGGCTGGTGGGTGACAACAATTTCAACGGCTCCTTCCCGCAGGGCTTCTCCAATCTCAAGAGCCTCAACTACCTGTGAGCCTCAACTACCTGTGAGCCTCATTTTTCCCTCTCTGCCAGCTATCCCACTGTGCGTGTCACCATCTCTTCACCTGCTGCCTTCCCATTCCGTTCTCCACCGCTCCAAGCATCTTGCGTCTCTGTGCGCCGCTTCTTCCATGTGTCCGAAATGCCCACGTCTCCTAACTGCCCACGTGTCCTGCTGTTCAGGAGCATGCGCTACAACGGATTCGGAGGGCGTGTTCCCAACGTCATCAGCACTCTTAAAAAGCTCACTTACCTGTACGCTTAACCCTCCCCCTTCCATGAGCATGTCGCTGCACACTCACCAATCACCCTGTTGTTTTCCTCCTCTTCCTCCCTGCCTGTCACCCCATCCCGCCCTCCACCCCCTCTCCTGTGTCTCAGCGTGTGTGTGTGCAACATCTCCGTGTGTTTGATCTGAATCACCCCTCGTTGCCCGTATCACCCCTCTCTCTGTGTGGCAGATCGCTGTACAACAACCAGTTCAAGGGTATCATTCCGCGCACCATCACCTCTCTCACCAAGCTCAGCAACCTGTGCGCTTCCCTCCCTCCCTCCCTGCTACCCATGCTTCTCCTCACTGCCTTCCACCTCCCTCCCCGTCTGCTGCTCATACCGATTTGCATTTTTTTTCTCTCTCTCTTTTCATGCTGTAATTCTGTCCACTCCGTGCCTTTTCCCCTCCCCACAAGCATCGTTATTGTCACTGTTTTTCGAAACTCACTTTCCCTCGCTTGCATCCTCCCTCCTAACTCTGCTCCCTTCCCCCTTTTTCTGCCTCTCTCTCACTCTTCATTTCTCATCCTCCTCTCTTCGCTCACTCTCGTGCACACGTCCATGCTCACACGCACGCACTCACACACCCGCCCATGCACACACACGTCTTCTGTCCCCCTCATTCCCACACGCTCATGTCCTGTCCGAGCAGCCTTCTGCAGGACAACTTCTTTGATGGCTACGTGCCCTCCTTCTCATCCCTCAAGAAGCTCACCGAAGTGTACGTACACCTCTCCGCTCTTTAGTAGTTCACTCTTCCCTTCCCCTTTCTGCTTTCCCTCCTCCGCTCTTTAGTAGTTCACCTGTGCTCTCTCCCTCCCTAATTCCGCTCCAAACGTCCCGGCATCTGACCTACCCTCTGACACATTTCTTCTGCATCGCATCCTGCCTTCTCCCACCTACACACTACAGGGACCTGAGTGCCAACTACTTCACCGGGCCTCCTCCCAGCTTCTACAAGGCCCCTACCACACTCAACCTCGACGACAACTACTTCTTTGGTTCTTCCCTGCCCAAAGACAAGAACGGTGACACTATCTGCGCGGCGTCTCTCGCTAAGAACTGCCTCACCATTCCTTCCTCATACAGCTGCGGCACCAAGCCGTCGCAGAGGACTGCTGCTGCGTGCAGCAAGTTTTGCGGCACTTCCGGGAATGTACAGTGCGGCGGCATCCGCATTGGCATCTGCTACCCGTCGGATAAGGTTGTGGAGACCAGCGGGAGTACTATTGATCCCCGATGCCTTTGCGCCAATGGGTGGACTGTGTCGGGCGATAAGCAGAAGTGCACCAAATGATGTGACATGGTGAAGGCACGCAAACTAGATTGGAGGGAAGGTCGTGGAAACCGATGGGAGGGTTTTTGTTTGTTGCGATTGTAGACGGTAGGCTTTATTGTGTGTGTGTGTGTGTGTGTGTGTGTGTGTGTGTGTGTGTTTTTTTTTTTTTTGCATGGGTTGGGGAATAAAGTACAGCTTTTGTGGGTCGAATACCGTAGACCACATGTGTTTTGCATAGGTTTATTATGCATTATGGAATAAAATTTGTGTATCGTGCTTAGTATCTACTACTATGACGAACAAAAAGGATTACCTCGTATCAGGCTTAAAGCCCGAGTACCACATGGCTATTTTCAAGTTCAAGATTCCTGAATATGAATTCGCAAAAAACAGTGTTACCACCCGAAGTTGAGCATTCTCGCTAGATAGTGATCTGTGATTGGCCAGCGACACTCAAAAGTCATATCGAGCAGAGTGTCCGCTGGCAACGCAGCACTGTTCACTTGAAGTGAACTTGAAAACCATCTGGTACTAACATGCAAGCATACTATACTTAGTTTACCCGTCATTCACGCACCAAAAAAGACTATGTTTTAGCACACAACTCACGTACGAACACGCGCACGATGCTCCTGCTATATTCTCCCTGGTCTAGAGCTAGGTTGCTGGTCGCTTAGGTTCCCCCATTCGCCCTCGCTTGCCCGCGACACCAAGGTCCTTTGGCTCTCGTTACTCGTAGTCCACGATCGCGCCCCCTTCTATTCGTCGCCCACGCTTCCAACCGTCGCTCCCTTCCATTCGCCGCCCTCCCTTCCGCTCGTCACCCTCCCTTCCGCGCGTCGCCCTGCTCGTCGCTCTACCTTTCGCCCGTCGCCCTCCCATCGGTTCGCCTTTTTTATGCCTTTCGCGAACACGATTAAAGCCCTCGCGTCACTGTTGCAAAAACCATGCTGACCTCGGGCTTTAACACGCTATGATAGAAAAATCTTCTGGCATTTACCGATTGGAAAGGATATAAGGGCATGTTCCTACCGCCCCTTATCAGGCCAACCTCTTATCAGGCTCGCGTCAAAACACACTGAAATTTCCCTAAACCCAAAAACCTTAGCGAATTTTACCAGGCAAACTTGACAAGAGGTTTGCCTGATAAGAGCGTAGGAACATGTCCTAACTCAATGCGGAGGGGCGGGCGTTCAGCTTTGACGCGTGGCTGCTCGACATAAAGCCTCACCTGCGGAGCCAGCGCGAGGACGACGTCTCCCTGTACGCCCACGTGACGTGTGAGCTTGCCCCCAGCGTCCTGCTGCTCTTGCTACTGTGCCCACGTCGGAGGAACGGGAGGCTCACTGCGTGGCCCTGCTTACGTACTCCGTTTGGGATTCGCGTGACGCTGTTGCTGCGCGCTCACCTCCTGCCGCTAGCCGAGTGGGTGCACTTTCGCCAGGTCGAGACGGCGAAGGCGTGACTTGATGCCATTGTTGCTTGCTACTCCACCCCCTCCTCTGCTACTTTGGGGCGCCTTCTCATGCCCTTCTTCTTCCCTGATCTCCCTGCATTCTCCAAAGTCGCGGACCTCACTACCCACCTGCTAGCTTCCGCGCTGCTTGTACTGCTGATGAACTTGTTAAGCACGCCCCCCCCATGTATACCACCATGCGGTTCCTGTCAGAATATGTTGTTTGTGTAGCCTGCAGTGGGGTACTCTATAGTGAGTACAGCCCCTTAGGGTTTGCTATTTGTATCCTGCTGCTTGCTAGTTCAATCATTCCTTCTCAATTCTGTTCCTACACACCTTCCTAGCTCGTACTTGGCTCCTCGTTACTAGTCCTACTGTGGCCTAGGCTACTAAGCCTAGGCCGTACTCCTACTACTTCTGACAGTTCCTAGCGACCCGCCTCCCTGACCGAATCGCGCCTGACCATGATGCCCTCCTCGCCATGCAACCCATGCGCCTCACTATAGATCTCTTATAGACTCGTCTCACTGAGATTGAGACCCGTCTTCGCACCATCGCCTCCACCACTGGTGCGGTAGTCCCCCCTATCTTTGAGGGGTGTGCTCTGCCCCAAATCCCTACCCCAATTGCCTCTGCTGCGGTTGCTGAGCCTATCGCTACTGCGGAGGTCGCAGCCGTCTCTGCCCCCTCTGGTGGGCAGGGACGGTGCAGGGGTGGTCGTGGTCGTGGAGGAGGTGGAGGTCCTGGTACGTCGAGGGGTGCACGTACGTCTAAGGGTACTGGCTCTGCTTCTGGTGGGCCCGGTGGTGCTAGTGCCGACGCGGGTGCGCCGGTGACTCCGCAGCAGCAGCAGCAGCACCAGCAGTCGCAGCAGCAATAGCTCCAGCAGTGGGCCTCTCAGCGGCAGTAGGGACCTGCTGGCCCGGGGAGCGGTGGCCGCGGTGGCGGGTCTGACACCTGGGCGTCGCGTGGCCTCCCCCCCGGGCCTTGCCAGTGCCATATTCAGTCTGGTCCACTGCGCGGCACCGTCTGCGGGACGAACGGCCACTTCACTTCGCGCTGCTTCTGCCGACTCGACGTCCTCTTCCGCGCCCTCTTTGGCCTGCGCTGTTACGCAGTAGTTTGCCTATGTAAGATGATGACTATTGTGTTGCCGGATTCTGCAATTTGTGTGTGCCTAGACTAGGTTCTCTTGCTGTATCTAGTGTAGGATCCTTTGTTGTTTCCTGCCCAGGTGTGTGCACTGCCGATGCATCCCTCTCCTTCACTCTGAACTCTGGCGGGTCCTAGTGCTTCTTCTGCGACCGCACCACCCTCTCGGCGCTTCCAGCTACTGTCGCAGTCTCCTTGGCCGAGACCTCCTCGGGACCGGTCGTCGCACGCAGCACTACTGCACTCCCGTGATTATCTCTGGTCCCGCGTCGTCACTCCCCGCTCTCCCTCCCTCGTTTGCGCAAACGTGCACCCCTTGCGTCGAGGCGGAGCGCAGCCCCTCACACCTCCTCGCCTCCCCTCACTGCGCCTCTTTAGACCTTGCACATGGACGTCTGGAGCCCTGCCCCCGTCCCTGGGCCGCGCCAGGAGCACTTCTTCCTGGTCGTTGTGGACGACGACTCCCGCTACACCACGGTGCTTCCCTTGGAGCGGAAGGCCGACGTGCCTGACACTCTCCTCCCGCGCACCCAGCGCACCCAGCCTGTGCTTCGTCTGCACTCCGACCGTGGTGGCGAGTTCGCCTCCGGTCGCCGTGGCCATTTTTGTCGTGCGGAGGGCATCACCCAGACGTTCTCGCTCCCAGACTCGCCTCAACAGAATGGCGTAGCTGAGCGTCGCATTGGCTTGGTCATGGAGATCGCTCGTACCTCCATGATTCATACCAGTGCCCCCCATTTTCTGTTGCCGTTTGTAGTCCGCTACGCAGCTACGCACCAGCTTATCCTGTGGCCCCGTGTCTCATGGCCGTAGGTTTCGCCGACCCTCCTCTGGACTGGATCCCGTGGTGTTGCGTCTGCGTTTGGTGGCTGCCTTGCTCACGTCCGCAATCCAAGCGCGGACAAGCTCTCAGCTCGCACTCTCCCATGTGTCTTTCTTGGTTTCCCTCTCGACGCCCCTAACTGGCTGTTGTACCACCCTTCGTCTTACCGTTTCCTCCGCTCTAGTGACGTCACCTTTGGCGATTCTGTCTGCTTCTAAACTCGCTTCCCTGATCGAGATACCTCGGTCCCCCTACCCTCCCTTTTTTTCTCACTCCTACTCATTCGCTCGCTCCCCTGCCTCCGCATCCTGCCCCGACTGGTGTGTCGCACGTCACCCCCCTTCCCTCGGTTGGGCCTATGGGGGAGTCTGCTGACTCTGGAGGCCCGGTACGTAGGGGTGCGCCTCCTGTGTCGGCACCTTCTCTGCCTCCCCCTCGTCCCCCGCCCCCGCCGCAGCCTTTGCCACAGTCTTTGTCGTCACCGGCGTCGTCCTCGCAGTCGCCGCAACAACCTTCGTTGCTGCTGCAGCCGTCGTAGCCGCCGTAGCCAGTCACTGTGGACTCTGGGGGTGCTGCCGCTTGGCGTGCTGGTTCTGGGGGTGCTGGCCTTGTGGGTGCGGCTCTGGGGGTGCTGGTTCTGGGCGTGCGGACGCTGGGAGTGCTGGTTCCGGGGTTGTTGCCGTAGGAGGTACTAGTACTGGGGGTGCCGCGAGCGCAGCAGCAGCCGCCATCGCCGCCCTCGCCTGCTTGGTCTTTCTTCTGGCTCGATTGACAGACCACCTGCTCCTCCACCACCGTCTCTCCCAGTCTACTGTCCCACAATTGCTCCCCCGGTCTCTCGTGTTCCATCACACTTTGTTCTCATGTTGCCTCTGTTGTGACTTCTTATTATGTATAACATAAATAGGTTAGAATTAGGAGTGTAACCCTCATATCAATTTGGGGGTGCCTCCAACTCCAACCCACTCAGAGCTAGCACCTCCAGTGCCAGCACCCCTAGAACCACAAACTCCAAGGTCAGGAACCCCAGCATCAGCACCCCCTGAACTAGCACCTCCACTGCCAGCACCTCCAGTGCCAGCACCCCCAGTGCCAACACCTCCAGCTCTAGTGCCTCCAGCTCCAGCACCTCCAGCTCTAGCACCTCCAGCTCCAGCACCCCCCGAACGAGCACCCCCAGACCGAGCACCTCCAGTGCCAGCACCTCCAGCTCCAACACCCCAAGAGTCCAGAGTAACCTGTCGCGGAAGTGCCGAGTTGGGTGACCCTGCTGGCTCACCAGTAGTTGGTGATACAATCTGGACCATCTTATAGGATCGTCTCAGGGTGATCGCACGGAGTGTAGCAGCGGAAGGTTTGCTTGGTAATGTCGGGTACGGACTCTGTCAGTAGAAGGAGATTTAGATCTCGACAGAAGTGACTAATACAATGCGGTACACGGGTTTATATAGGAATACAGTGGAATACGAAAGGTCCTAGCTAGCCATGTACTCTGAGGGGGTACATTCCCCTTAGGGCTAATCTAGATGCAGGATTGCAACCGTGCGGTTCGGTAACCGTGCGCGGTTCGGTAACCGTTTGAAGTTT